ATAAGCAGTCAGGGCTGTGGCTTTAACTCCCTGGGGTCTGGCCTCTGGCAAGGTGGTGGCCTCAGGCAGATGGAACAGCATGCTCACCTGCTTTCTGCACCCATCTGTCCTTACTCTGCAGTATCTTCTGCCAATGAGAGGAGCTTTTTGATATTGTTTTAAAATTCTAATTATAGGTGAATTTGATAAACAGGAAGAGGACATTCACTTAGTGACATTATGTGTGACAGGTAAGTTCTGCCATTTCCCAAAACAAATCTATACAGTCAGGGAGATTTGCTCTCACCATTCCTGCAGAGCCCGGCACCAGGATGCAAATTACAGAACTCACACACAGCTTGTCACTGCTCAGCTGTGTTCCTGTGCTTCCTGCTGCTCCACAGCCTCTGCTCCTTGCCTATATGAGATCCTGTGCAGCCTCAGTTCTGATACTGTGGCCCTCTGCCTGGAGGTCTCTTTCCTTGGGCTCTCAGAACTGCGACTGTAGAGGGGAGCTGCCCTGTCTTGGGGCAGAGGCAGGGTGTGGAGAGGGCCAGGGCCCTGGCTCTGAGTGGCCTTGTTCCACAAAAGCCTGCCTGCCCAGGACTCTACAGGACATCATTCCTTTACTTTGCTGTTTTTCCCACTTTGGGAAGAAAAGGCCTTGTTACCTTTATTGTATAAACAAAAGCAATCATTTGGTATTTCTTGACAACTGTAACTTAATTGTTTTCTTAATTTCTCAGAGTTAAATGACCGGAAAGAAAACGAAAACCACTTTCCAATAATTTATGGTATTGGTAAGTAATACGTGGTTTTGAGGGTTGAAGGTTTGGTTACCCATTGCATGGGCAGGCTTCAGTGAAAGGCTGACTGGGCAAAGTAGTGATCGCACAGCTCAGCCTCAGGGTGTGTGACGGCCTCGAGTGCAGACCCTGACTCCTGTGTATTTGGTGTGAGACCTCTAGCTACTACTGGCCCACTGCAACCTGTATGACACTGCGGCAATGCTTGTAACTCAAGACTGGAAAGAAAACAGGTACCACTTGTACAGCACATACTGCCCACCACACCTGCACGGTTGTGAGCAGGCTCAGCCTTGGAGGTGCAGCTGTGCTTCTCTCTAGCCAGTGCTCTGGAGGGAGCGATAGGACATTTGAATTTTTGTATACTTTGCAGACAAAGTGAGGTTTTGATTGAGAACACAGGTCATACAAAAGAAAGCATACAATTATCAGGCAAAAGAGAGTATAACCCTCCTCCCTGTACCACAGCTCCAGGGAGCCTGAGCATGTGGCTATATTTGCACAGGGTTTCTATGTGTAATATGTTAGCTGTGTGGTGAGTACCCAGGTGCTTGGTATTTTATTCTCTAAATTTTGTGTATCTAAAATTGTGGTACTTTGGTTCATGAATTTGATTCTTTGCATGATTCCGATTGCAAACTGAGGTGGACAAAAACTGAAACAAATTCAATGGTTAGGTTCATTGTTGACCTTACAGAGAAATTTGATTTGGTTCCGAGCCAGTTCAATTTGTGACCAGAATTGTGGAGAGAGAGAGTTGAGTTGTGAACCAAGGTACCAGTGCACCAAACTGAAAACTGGTGGTTTTAGTCACCATCACAGCCCCTCTCCCCCACCTTGCATGGAGATGGATTTGGTCACAGGCTGACCAGGGAGGCTGTGTACCTGCCGGTGAACAATAAGCTTCACACTTGGCAAGCAACTCTGGGCTTGGGAGTTTGACCTGGCCCAGCTCAGGCCTCAACTACTGTCACCATACTGCTGCTGGTAACAAGGCTGCCCATTCATTTTCCACAAATGGAAGGCATAGATGACGTAGAGTCATTTTGTTCATTTCCATTTTTTTTTTCTCCATGTCTGGCTCTTCGTGGTAGTACAGAGGCAAAGCTGAAAACTTTATTGTGGTCATTTGTCTGTTAAAGTCATTCTGTTGTTCCTTGCAGCTGTCAACATTAAAACTGCAGAGATTTTCAGAGCCTCCTTTAAAGATCGAGGCCCAGAGGAGGAGCTGCGTGCAGCACGGGCTCTAGCAGGAGGCCCAGTAAGTGTGAACTCTGTGTTAAGGGACAGCAGGGATAAGGGATGAACTGCCAGAAAAATTTGTCTGCCTCTAAAGCTGTAAATTATGGGATCCCCAACATGCACACTTTCTCACTTTGTTAGAAGAGTAAAAATTTTAGATTGTAAGTTCAAGACCCTAGTTGGCTGCCTAGGAGGTGCAAGAGGTGGTGTGAGCCCACACTGTCACAATGTCTAGATCCCAAGAGAATAAGTCTATTTGTGTTGTCCTAACTTTTGTTAACCTTAACAAAGACAGCAGGAAAGGGAGAAGGGTTGCTCCCCTCTGTACTTGGGATTATTCCCCCTCACTTTTATTCTCCACTACTGAGGACTGAACCTAGACCTTTCCCCTGCAACCCTTTTTGAGAGAGGATCTTGGTGAGCTGCCCAGGCTGGGCTCAAACTTGTGATCCTTTTGCCTCAGCCTACCAGAATGCTGGGGTTACAGGTATGCATCAGGGATCATGAATCCTTTTAAAGCAAGTCACTGATTAGTAGCTTGATAGAATCAACCAAAAAGAATGACTAAATCAACCTAGTCTTAATTTCCTTGTTTTGTTTTGTCGTCCAGGGATCAACCCCAGGGCCTGAAACATGCTAGGGTAAGTGCTCTACTACTGAACTATATCCTGGGTGCCTTTTAAAAGTGAAATAATTCAAGGCTGCTTTGGAGGAACAGGTGGAAGAATTCTTTTAAAATGCTCTGTGTAGAAGGTGTAGCCCAGTGGTAGAGCACTTGCTAGCCTGAATCAGGCCCTGGGGTTGACCTCCAGTAGTAAAACAAAACAGAAACAGCTTTTGCTGGTTATGATGGCACACACCTGCAATCCCAGCATTCTTTTGTAATCCCAGCACTCTTGAGAGTCTAGGGCAGGAGGATCACGAGATCAAGCTCAGCCTGGGCAACTTCATAAGGTCCTGTTTCACAACAAGGAATAGCATCCAGTTCAACCCACAGTACCACAGCAAAGGTGGGGGGCAGGGAGCCCTCACAGTATAAAAGAACAGACGTCGGAACTGGGCTTGCTTGTTGAGACACTGGCATATTCATAGAAAAATGTGTGGAATCAGAGGGATTCGTTTTGCCAGACTTAACATTTTTAGGATTCCTTTTGCTGTTCTTCAAATAGCATAACTATGCTAATTTACTTGGTACTCAAGAAGATATTTCAGCCTCAGTAACCAAAACTGAGTATTGCTGGTTAAGCTGAAAATCACTGGTGGCAAACTTTGGGAAGTCAGGGAAGCGACCATTTGACAAATAGCTTTTTAGAAGTTTCGCTATTCCTGTCTTTTGATGGGCGATGATCAGGCATTGCGAGCTTTTCAAGTTGCTAGATGATTAGCTGCTCAGCTCTCAGTACTGAGGCGGTGTTTGCGTGGAGCACCGCACACTAAACACACTGGGTTTGAGGCCTAGCTCTGATGCTCACTGCATGTGAGATGTGTCAGGTTCTTTTACTCCCAGTGGAAAGAACGCTGTCTCCTTAGAGGACTGTTGTTACAAGTAAACCCATTACCCACAACGTGCAGGACCCCACACAGGGAAGTATTAAGTAGGTGGCAGCTTCATTGCTCTGGGACAGTTTTTGTGTAGCTCATCATTTAGAGGAACCTTGCCCTCAGCTACACGAGGGTGCACAGTAACAGGAGAGGGGAGACAAGGTAAATTTCCCCCTTCCTGCCTTTGAATCATTGTCTTCCAGATGATTAGCATTTATGATGCCAAGACTGAACAACTTCGAATAGGCCCGTATTCCTGGACACCATTCCCACATGTGGATTTCTGGTTACAACAAGATGACAAGCAAATACTGGAGGTAAAAATTTATGGAATAAATCTATAGGCTCTGGCTTCCTCATCTGTAAGAAAAAAAGGTTTCGACTAGATAATGGCTGCTTATCCTTCAGTGAGTACCAGCTGTTTTTGGAAGGCACTAGCAAACCTTGGTTCAGGTGGGGATAAGTGGTGTCCTCAGTGTGCATAGGTGGAACAGTTAAGCAGTAACCTACACACATCTTGGGGGATACATGTATTGATTTGAGAACAACCTGATTAAGGAACCAAGCAAACAACAATAGAGCCAATTTCCTCTTCTGTCATGCCCACTTTTTTTCCTCCCAGAATCTTTCAACTTCCCCTTTGGCGGAGCCCCCTCACTTTGTTGAACATATACGATCTACCTTGATGTTTTTAAAAAAATACCCCTCTCCAATGAACACACTGTTTCCTGGAAATAAAGCTCTCCTCTACAAAAAAAATGAAGATGGCTTATGGGAAAAGATCTCTTCAGGAAGCTAAAAATAGGAATCACCAGAGCAAGAAACTTTTTGGCATCACAAAGACCATTGGTGGGGTCTGCAAAGAATTTGGAACTTATATCCATCAAGTCTTAGGTCGCTTTCCTTACTCGGTATCTTTCAAATGACTTTCAAAATAAAATCTTATTTTGGCAAAAGCGTTTGTTTAGATTTACTTTTTGCTTTACTAAAAGGTCAGTGTCCAACCGTTTCTTTTTGGTCAGTAGTAATGGGCAGAGAAGAACCTGTCTCACTGGTTTGTCAGCAGCTATTACACTTACCCAATACATGGATAAGTATTTCTAATTCTCCTACTTAGTACAGAAAGACAGTTGAAAAATGTTTAAAATGCAATAAAATTTAGGGAGAATTTTGTTCAAAAACCCTTTAAAAGCTTTACGTCCAAAAGAGACCTATATATCAGGGTTTCATCTCAGTGTTTTCAAATACAGATAATTTGTGGGGCTAAATTTGATCTGGGAATTACACAAAACCAGTGATAAATCCATTCTTTTAGGTGTAAGGTCATTAAAACATCCAAATTGTGGTTTTACACATTTAGAAACCTGTTGTTCCGACATTCCCACTGAAAAGTCACAATGCCTGATACTGAGGTATAACTGAGTCCACTGATAACAATTTCAAGAACCTTTATTGAAACCAACATTCAAATAGTATCTCAAGGGTGAAATTCTGTTTCAGCAAAACCGATTTAACAATTCCAAATATATATATAAAAACATTTAAAAATCTTGTTAAAGGTGATAATTTATCCCTCTCCCACTTATCTGCTATACTTCATTGCACCAAAAAAACCAGGGAAGACTGTTTAATCTGCACCCAAAAATAAAATAAAGGAAAACTACATTTTGACAAGTGCCGAATGTCGAAATCACATCAAATCAGTGTAATTATAGGCTTAATGTGGTATAACTAAGGCTTCCCACACTAGTCCACAAATCCAGTGCGAATTCCCCACCATCGAACGCTCTCTGCTTTCCCATTGTTTAACTCTGCTGGCTTAAAAAGGCACAAGGGCCCAATCTTAAGACAACGGAAATGATGTAGTTCTTTGCAAAATAGAAACCTGCAAGAACTTGGGAACTTACTTCCAGTTATTTCAGCCGGGGAGGGATGACTTTTCTGCCTCTCATTTCTGCGGGACCCAGGGAGAGCTGTGAATGGAAGAGAAGCTACAAACCTCTGGAGTGAGACACGTAAGGGCAAACTTACTTTAGCATTCCAACCCATGTAGTGCTGTGCAACCTAGTAGTATCAGGCTCTTCAGGACACAAATGAGCATAATCTGCACCTTTGTGCTGATTTAAAAGCTTTACCATATTTAAATATTGACAAACACACACATACATATGGTCAGGAAGAGACTCAACGGTTATTCCTAGTTAGACAAGTCCTCAAAATTGTTTACAAAGAGCATAGAAGGGGAGAAAAGATTTGTGGCAAAGGACAGCCCCAGACAGAAGCCCTGCCATGGCTCAAGTGGACACGGTCCATACTCAGTCTCCAGGAAAAGCAGCAGTCGGGCAATGGCAGGAGAGGGCTCTGGATGCTCTTTGGGTCCCACTGAAACCCATTTCTTGGAGCAAGCCAATCCAGGTGTCTACTGCAACGCAACCACCACAGACCCATACAACAAAGGTCACTGTCGTCTTGCCTCTGCAGCAGCACAATATAGAACCTGGAGAGTCCTAATAAAAAGCCATTACGTGCAATCTACTCCACATATGCTTATGTTCAGAAAGAAGAAAGCATGTATTTCAAGTGGCAAGCACCCGAAGTTTTAAGTGTGTTTATGGTAACTTAAGGGGAAAATGGTTGTACTGCATTTGGGCAGGCCAGAAACAAGAGTTGGTGGTTCTGCATACACATGAAATAACTGACTCCCCTCCTGGAAAGCTTGGCTTTCAGGCATGTACTTGTGCAAAAATCCCAGTTCAATTGGATGAACATGTGGCATAGTTCACGCTACAGTGTAACTTCTTCCCTGAAACAACAGTCAGTACCAGTCTCAAACCCAACACTGAATTTTATCTTAAGCTCCCTGGCTCTTCCACCTGTGGATGGTCATCTGGACGCTGGGTCCTGTTCTGGAGGGTTTCAGTCTGGCTGGCTTGAGGGGCAGGAGCTCCTGGAGGTTGCTCAGGGCTGTGGGCCTCTAGGGTGCTTTGCTCTGGCCCACTGGACATGTCTTCCACCTTTTCCAAGTCTTCAATGTGACTGACCGAGCTGGTCTCACTCAGTGCATCTGAACTTCTCAGGGACCTTTTAAAAGGCTTCTGACCTGGGGAAAGATGGGATGAACATGGCTGACAGCTCGGTAAGGAGCCTAATGTGACAGAGGTTCTCTGTACACTTGGTTATTGCTTTATTTTATATGCTCAGGCAGAAATCCTGGAATTCCTGGTTTTGAAACAGATGAGAAAGGAACAAAGAACTGCTACTGTTACTCTGCCATGTTCCCAGGCTGGAATCTTTTGAGGTCATCTTAATAAAGACAAGCTCAGGAGAAAGCACCATGGTTAAAATAATGCCAACACTCCAGACCCCTACAGTGCCACCAAGGCATTTCTTTAAGGCAGTCTCTTGAGTACTGAATGGTGGTTATTCAAAGGGACAGTGAGTGATACGTTGTCTTAAGTGTAGAAAACGGGGTTAAATGGGGTTAAAGAACAAGTAAAACAAAGATATGGAAGTTAAACTTTTGCGAAAACTGTTAAACTTGCAAAGGTCTGTTTTCCCTAAAAAAACAAACAAACAAACAATTTCTTTGCTAGTTAATAAACTCAAATGTGATGTAACATACCTGGAAGTCTCTGTTTGGTGCGGCTGCCTGAGGGAGTTGGAGGCGGTGTCACTCCTGTCCCTTGTACTTTGTAGACATAGGTGTGTTCTGTGGACTCGAGAGAGCCTGCGGGGAGAGAGGAGAGAGTACCTGTGGCCACCAAATGCCTGTGATGATGCCACTTGCTCTGCCTTCGGTCCTAACAAGCAGCTTCCAGCATTCAGCTTGCCACAGATCAGAGACTCAGGCCTTCCTGAAACTTGCCAAGAACTGGAGACAGCTGGGCCAGGTAGCCCATTCCTCCTGAGTATCCAGGGACACTAGGCCAGTGGTGTGCACAAACATGCCTGCGGAGCCAGGCCCAACTGGGCAATGTACTTTAGCGACAGGGAATAGATGCCTTTTGCTAAAGGCTGATGCTTGGCAGATTAAAGCTCAGATTATCTTCCGTTGTTACAGTGCTGTTTTCCTAGGGAAAGGGACCTTAGGTTTCAGGGAAAATTATTTCCTTGGCAGAAAAGGAAGAAGTGTGGGCTTCAATGTATCTTTCCCAAATTCTAGCAACTGGTTATACTACTGGCCATGTGGTCTGAAATAAATGTTCCAGGGCTACGTGTTCTGACCTTAGGATTTCTCCTTTCTTTTTTTGGAGGGTGGAATTGAACTCAGGACCTTGCACTTCCCAGGCAGGTGCTGCACCACTGAGCTGCATCTGGTTTAGATTCCCCCTTTCAAAAGCAGCCCTGTGCTGGCTGCAAGGACTAGTGAACCTGAACTCAAATGCCCAACTCCCATGGCAAGCTTGCTTTCTTGGGGTTCTGAACAGCTGGATGGACCAGTTCTTACAGATTCAGGGCAAAGGATTCAGCTTACTACATCGGCCTTCTCACTACTTAGTGATAGAGGGGACTGTGGAAAAAAGTGGCAGGGCAGCAGGGACTCTCCAGATTCCTGCCAGAGGACCCAGGGACAGACCAAGAACTGTGAGAGACTTTGTAACACAAGGGGTGTGGAGAGCTCATAGCATGGTCAAAGCTCCCATATAAAAGAGATCTGAGCAGAGACTAGTTAGTAGTACCTGCTGTTAAGTTAAATGTTCTTCCCTTTTGTGAAGCTTGTACTGGAGAAAACCAGTTCAGCACGGATCCTACTACAGGGATCTGCCGCAACACTCCCTGAAAAGACATAACCCCTGGTCAGGGTCACACGGCCACGCTGTGCTCCCTGCCCAGTGCAGCCACGGCCTTGGCTCGGGAACCTCACCTCTTCCAGAAGTCGCTCCTCATTGGCCTTCTGCAGCTGATCCTGAGCTTCCTGAATTCCTTTCCGGACAACTTCTGTCATGTTTTCCAGAAGCTGTGTAAGATCAGGGAAGACATTACTGGTGTATGCTGCTCACTGGGGCGCACAGAACTGCTGACACAACAGTAGGGATGTTCACAGAGGTGCATCAGTAATGAAATTCTGCCCTTGCAGGCCACAGTGAAGATCAAACAGAAGAGTAAAATGCTTGTGGAGGCCTAGACAGACACCTTAGTGACCAACCTAATGTGACAGGCAGTAGAGAAGAAATAACTGACATCTTGACTAAAAAAAAAAAAAAAAAAAAAGAAAAATCACCCACTCAACTTTCAAGAAGAAAAAAGCAGAAGCCATGTTGTCAGGTTTGGCAGAAACCTTAACGGTCCACCCAACAGTGAATGTAGCTGGTTCCTCAACTTCATTTCAAGCTCTTCTCTTCCCAAAGTGAGACACACGACATGCATTTCTGTTGGCTCCCAGATGTATCTGGTTTAGGGAATGGCTTTTACCCTGGTAGTTTGCTCCTCCATGCCAACTAGCCAAGCAGCAGGTCTGTATCTGGTGGGAGTCCTGTTAGCAGACATGCCCATCTCACCTGGTTTGAGCTCTGCACTGAGCTCGCAGGCAGAGGGGTCCTCTCGAATGCACAGCTACTGTGACTCCACAGCACTCACCATGCCTAGCTGTATGTGTGTTTCTCCCCACTACTTGGCAGTTCCTCAAAAGCAGAGCCCAGGTCAGGCCTACCTGGCATCCTCATGTCTGACATGCCTCAATTACAGGGAACACTTATGAACTTTTTGGGAAAGAATAAATGGTTATTTCCCACGAATGCTTCCTCTTTCATGACCCCATCTAGTTGGGGAGGCAAAACCCCAAAGAGACACAAAACACTAATCAGTTGTACAGACCCTTGAATTTTCTTCAATTTCCCGAGCTGTGACTGCAATGGTCTCCACCAGTTCAGAAACATCTATGTCATCGCTTGCCATGCCAACATAAATGCAGCTCTTCATACTCTTGTACTCAGGACCTGTGGGGAAAAAACAGCAGACAAGCTAGGCTTCCTTTCTGTTGAGAGAGAGGCCTGGGCCACTCCTCTTTGTAACTATAGGACCACATGTGAGAAAAGGCCCCCTTAATGCAGTGATAGTGTCTCTAATAGGCTGAACCTGAGAAAGAACTGCGCTTTCACCTAGCCCAAAGCTTCCTCCAGATGGATGAAGCCATCTCAGCCAATTAGAAAATGTACTTCTGCAGTTCAGAGTTAACTTAGAGGAGCAGTAATTACCCATTTTAAATGTAAGGTCAGATTCCAATTCATTCAACTTTTTCAGGAGTCCAGCATGGATTTTCTCTCCCTCTGGGTCTGATTTCAAACTGCTCTTATCATCATTTGCATGTTCATACCTAAAAACAATATTGAGCAACAGTACTTTAATTAAAGAGATCAATATCTCCTCAGAGAAGGTTATAGGTAGGTATTAACACAATATGGTACCCAATGGGCAAAGGGGCCATGGATGGTGTTTTTGTTTTTCTGAGACAGGGTGTCACTATGTAGTTCAGACTTGCCTTCAATTTACTAGTTAGCCCAGGCTGGCTCAAACTCATGGCAGTTCTCCTGCCTCAGATTCCTGAATGCTGGGATTATAGGCATACACTACCATGCCTATCTGAATAGTGTCCTGAGGTTGACAACTCTCAAGAATATAAATAAGGGCCAAGTCTTTGGCTTTATAGCCAAAAACAATATGCCTCATTTAAGGAGGACAGCCACTGCAGGGCTGAACCCATTGCTAACTAGAGGCCGGTGGGGTGCTGTCTCCCTGGGAACTGGGTTCTGTTTCTCACTGACTTGGAATAGTCTTATCTACCCTGGATGGTAACCATCCATCCACTACATAAGCCCATATGGTACCATCCCACAGGCATTTGTGAGTCAACATACAGAGCACACAACTCACTCCTATGGATGTGCCTCACTGAGTGTACACTGGTGGGCCAAGCCAACTGTTGACACTGGATCTCTGTAAATGCCCACAATGCCTAGTTGAATTTTTGACAGACAAGTATATTGGGTCTGCATACACTCATCTTTGATTTCAAAGTTGGTTCACAAAATGACGCACCACAGGGCTGGGGATTTAGCTCAGTTGTGTAAGTGCCTGCTTGGCAAGCAAAAGGTCATGAGTTTGAACCCTGGTACCAAAAATAAATAAATAAATAAATAAATAAGTTGAGTTAAAAAAATAAAAATGACTCACCATGTGCTTTATTGGCAAAGTCTTCAACATTAAGAGGCAAGCCATGCCTTACCTGACAACCCCTATTCCAGGCCAGTTGGGGTCATCAACATATAGGAGACCTGCAGTCCCCTCTACTTCCTGCTTGAATTCTTCTCGCAGCTGCAGCGTACAAGTCAGGACAGGCAGTTTGCTTTGGATGCAGGCTACAAGCTGATCCACATCCTCTCCCTGTGTTCCTAACGCTGAAAACATTCACAGAATATTTGAGAAATGTGTAGGGAATAGCTTATAGGGACCCTCGCTTCCCTAATTAGGAAGGTCAAAAGCTCTAAGTATAGTCAATTAGCTGGAGCTCAGGAGTCGAAAAGGCCACTCAAGCCAGCTATGGAAGAATCAGGTGTCAAAAATTAGCACAGCTTGTGCTAGGCATTTAGTTCAGTAAGCACCTGCCTGGAAGGCTCAAAGTCCTGAGTTCAATTCCTGATACCTCCCCCACCACCCCTAAAATAGTCAGCTACCTCTCCAGCTATAAATGCTTTGTAGGAGATTTGGTATACAAATGAACCTCCTCAGTATAGAAATCAGCCTCTTCTCACACAAAGGACTGCTTTGGTCTGGTTATGAGATCTCATTACAAGTTAATATGAGCAGCAATCAGAGGTCCTCTCTACATTACCACAAGTGGAGGGAAAGGGAAGTACTTTAGTGGTCTGTGTCTGGGATACCAGGAAAGGCAGGGCAAGGCAACTGTAGTGATTTCAAGGCCTCAAGACTCCTCTTTAAGCCCTGTTCTTGCTGCCATGGGGGTCCTGGCCTTGCTCCCCCACCAGCTTTAGAGACAAAGCCCCCAAAGAGATTGGCCTGGCCACCAGTGAATTATTCAATGGGTTTTTCTTTGCAGGACAAATGCCTACTGTTTTCCTAATTGGATATTTTTTAAGAAAAAAACACCTTTCCAAAAATGTTGAAAATCCGTCAGGATAAATCACCAAACATTTCCTGAAAATGTTGTTACCTTACAAAAAAGCACAAATCTTTTGTTAAACCAGTTTTTAAGACTGAAAACTACATATTTGTGGGGTACCAAATGATGACCTGAGAAACGGGTACACTGTGTAATGTTCAAATCAGGGTAAGCACCTCTATTTCCTTGAACAGTCACCATTTCTTAATAGGGAAAATACTCAAAATCCTTCTTTCTAGCTTTTTAAAAAACTATAGCATATTATTATATATGGTTCACCATATTTATACCTCCTGTCACTTTAGTCTTCACTATCATCAAGTGGTAGGGATCAGGTCTAGAGATCAGAGATCTTAATCAAGGTCCCATAGGGGCAGAGGGCACAGTACCCGGGACTTCCTGTGGTAAAATCCACACACTTTTGGCTACAATACTTTCTGAAGTGTCTAAATCAGTTGCTCTCGACCTTCACTGGTCTATTAAAATTCCCAGGGAACTTCTAAGATGTTGATGCCCAGTTTCCAAACAGGTGGACACCTGGGAAGTCCTGGAGGGTTCCATGCCTGAGAGGACCCAGCAGCTCAGTGCTCCTTCCCCTCCCTCTCATCTTTGAAACACGGTGTACTCCTTAAACATACACAACACCAATAAAGGTAACCAAGACCTAGGAAATCAGACCTCTATAGGTAGCCCAACCACTGGTGGTTTTTAAGGCCCCAAACTGATTCAAAGATGCAGTTAGAAGCAAGAATCCTTGAAATAGAAAACTGAAGAACACTAAAAACAAGGATTCAAGTGACTTCAGAAGTCTGCTATTTTTGAGAAATTACAATGGAATGCCAGTCTAAATTTAGACCCAAAGGAAAGAAACAGCTGACCCCTAAATCCACATTTTAAAGGCGCACCCCTTTGGGAATCCTGTTTAATTTGATCCACAGTGTGGCTAAGGCCTTAAGCTCTTGGTGGTTTTTCTAATATTCCTCTTTGCCATGCTTTCTCCCCCACAGGTAGTGTGGAAATCAGTAAGTTGCTGGATCTGTCACAGTCCACCTTTTAAGACAGATCAGGAAATATTCTGACGTGCTCCTCATGTTTGGGCTCTGCATTCCCAACCTTATAGTACAGTTTATCCATTCAAGACCGCAGGGAACGATCCAGACGACAGCCTGATGCTCCTGAGAGATTCACCAGGCCTTCTCTCACTGAGTGGACAGCCCAGCCCTTCTTGTTGTATGGATGCTAACTCCTTTGTCACTACTTTCTCCCCCAGTGGTGAGCCACAGCATCCCAAGGTGGCTGGACAGCACATAATCCCCAGTAGGTAGCACCTGAAGCCCCTTTCAGCTGGAAATGGCTACATGAAGAGACCTCCACACTCTCAATGACCCACGAAGTTGAGGCTCTGCGTGTGTCTGGGGAAAATGAGGCAGGAAGTAAGGGTGTGGCCAGGCAGCTGGACAAGTGGGCATGACCTGTCAGTCATGGAGATCCAGGACACAAGTGCAGAAAAACAGTTCCCAAGGGCTACAGCTGGGACCAATGAGCAAATGCTACCTTCAGTTCTTGTGGCACAAGATCAGACAGGTTTTGATGAGACAGTATAGATCTGAAGTCAGCATGGGGAGGAGGAGATCCAGGGGCCATTAACCTCACCTGCAGAATGTACTCTTTCCTATTACAGTTGGCCCACACTCACTCTTTTCCTATCTCTGATAAATGTAAAACTTTGCTACCTTAAAAAAAGAAAAAAGAAAGAAATAGCCCCTCCAAAACCTGATGCCCCAAACTATAGCAAAACAGAAAATCATAGGGGAGAAAAAAAGAACTTAGATGTGTTATATATATGGACCAACTTGCTACAGTGAATGTAATCATTATATACTGCAAACATGAACTATAAAACAAAGTACCCAGCATATCATAAAGAAAATTACGTGGGGTGTGGCAGCACATACTTGTGACCCCAGCACTCTGGGAGACTGAGGCAGGAGGAGTACAAGTTCAAGCTTGGCCTGGCCAACTTAAGTGATTTAGCCAGACTCTCCTTCAAAAAATAAAAAAGGGCTGAGGATGCATCTCAGTGCCAAAGTCCTTGGTTCAACTCCTAGTATGGCAAAAATAAAGGCAGACAGTCAGACAGACAACCCAACAGCCTAGACTTTAACAGGCATAAAACCCATCTTACCAGAATGAAACAGAGACTAGTTACCTGCTGCCGTCATCAAGGGGCTGAACCGCACACACATGCCCTCGACCTCCAGATCCATGACGGTGAGGCCACCTGCAGGCACCAGCTGTTTCAACTGCTCTCCCAGCTGCAGAGAAAAGGACAGCGCACACATGTTCCCACAACCCAGGCCGCAGTGTCTTCCCCACCTCCCCTCTCTATCCAACACAGACTGAGGGGAAGCAGGGGGCTCCTGGAGCTCATTTCTTTTCATCCTCAACTGGTCTCTGAATATTTATGGCTTCTTTTTTGGTGGTGGTGGTGGGGGGTGGAATTCAGGGTCTCGCTGTATAGTCTAGGTTGACCTTAAAAACTCACTAGGTAGCCCAGGCTACTCTTGAACTCTCAGTGATCCTCCTGCATCAGCCTCCTGAATGGTGAGTTTATAGGCATGCACCTCACACCTGCACCACTTCTTTTTAAAACAGATTTTACCTTTAGGGATGCTCTATCACTGAACTACATCTCCAGACCCTTTTATGGGCAGAGTCTTGCTAAACTGCCTTGGAAAGAGTAGACGTTGCAGTCCTCCTACCTCAGCCATCCTCAGGGCTGGGATTACAGGTGTGTGCCACCGCACCTGGCCCCAGCCCTTTCATTTTGAGGTAGGCTCTCACGAAGCTGCTAAGTGGCCCTGGAAGGTTCAAACTTGCTATTCCCCTGTATTGCCTTCCCAGAGCACTGAGATTATAGGCTTGCACCACCACACATAGCTTATTTTCCTTTTTACCAATACAATTCATTGTATTACACAATTCACTGTATAAAAATCTACAAAATGCAGATAAATGTAATATGTAAAAAGTACCCACAACATACTGCTCAAACACTGCTGACATTTGGTACACTCCCATGTTTTCTCTGTAGTGAATGAAAAGTTGTCATAAAACATGACATGCTACACACTTTAATAATTTGCATTTTTTCATTTGTGCTGCTTCATTTTTTCATTTCCTGGCTGCCTAGCACATTCAGCAGCATGGCTCACAATGGCCGTTTTGAACTGTGCTGCACAGGTGTGCTATAACTTATTTGCTGAACCCCCAGGAACCAATACTGTTGCAGTGAGCATCCTTATGCTGCTCACGACACTCAAGACTAAATTCCTAGAGGTACTATCAATGCCAATGACTCCTAGAGGTACTATTTCAGTGTCCACAAAGCACTAAAGCACAATTCCTCCAGCCCACACTGCCCTACTGCCAAAGATGCTCAAGGGACTTAGCCTTGGTGCCCACTGAGGCAGCTGGACGCTCACCAGACCACCACAGCAGGTGCATGGATGCCATACTCTGCAGGCTGTTTCACAGCTGTACACGGCACCCAAGAAACAGTATAGGTGGAAACTAAGAGAAAGATGCCAAGAATGATTGCCAGGGGTGGCCAGGAAGTGACCTGAGAAGAGAATCTCAGAACACATCCAGCACCTTCTGTTATCCCAGCCGTGGTGCTCTGAGATGTAAAGAAAAAGGCAGACAACTGCCACCTTACCCAGCGATTCAGAGCATCACAGGAATGTCTCTCCCGGCCAAGGGTGGAGGGCGCCATGTGGGGTGCTGGGACCCCTTTTAACACCGGATCTGAAACCAAAACAGAAGGGATTCACTCCCAAAAACATGGTCAATTTAAACATTGCAGTCCAACTCCATTTCACTTAGATTCCATTATTCACCTCCTGTATTTCTAAAATCAAATAATTCTAACACATTTTTTTTTCTTCACAAACTATATAACACCTGAATACATTTCCAGAAACAGAATTCTTAACTACACTTTTGGAAAAGGTTGCTTCTAAGGCCTTTGGACTATTCAACACCTAGTCTACCAAGCATTGTGCAAAGGCAACCACGGGCCCAAACATCCAAACTGGGCTTCCCAAAACTTATCCTTGACCCATCAAATAGTCTGGATGCCTGCTCATCCTTAGGACTGTAGACATCTGCGATATATAAAGCAGGCAATGATTCTGTCACCTCGGAGCTTACAGTCTAACTGGAGACAGAAAATAACCATATGTTGATCACTGCTAGTGCAGTGAAAGATGATCACATGCCATGACATAACAAGATGGAATCCTTTAGACAGGACAAAGAGAAAGCCAGAACTTAATGGCAACCTAGGAGTGAGAGAAGTGTTTTGTTTTTTGTTTTTTAGTACCAGGCATCAAACTCACGACCTCACACTTGGGACCTCATACTTGCCAAGCAGGCGCATGTGCCGCTGAGCTAAATCCCCAGCCCCAAGAATCTATTTTCAAGTGATTCAGCCATTCTAGTACTGATCCTGAGACTGATATCTGGGAACCATTGGTGTAGGCACTGTAAACTAAAGCAATAGATTTTGGAGTATCTAACATGCAGTGATACCAAATTCAAAGCCCTTAGACACAGACACAAAAATAAACCTTTTTAAAATCACCTACCTGAGTTTGGTAATTCCTGGAAAAATCTGAACACTACTACTGGTGAACTGAGCTCATCCTCCACCTGCAGAAACAGAAGTCTGGTGTTACCAAGTGACAGTAAATGCCAACCACCCACGGAGTCAGCATCAGCTGGGAAAACAGGGTGGAGGTGGTCTATTTTGTATATAAACACAAATAAAAACTCAAAGGTTAATTTCAGCTGTGAAAGTAACAAAAAGCAAATGTTTGGTAAAACTTCTAAAAGTAACTATGACTTACCCTGAGAGTGTACCGTGGTTCTGAGATTAACATGAAAATTAAACTGAAGTTAAAGCAGGGGAAATTTTAATATTTACAAACAACCTTAGTGCTCAAAAAAGGTACGTAAAAAGTCAGGTGTGGTGGCACACACCTCTAATGTCCTCGGGAGGCTGAGGCAGAAGGATTACTATGAGTTCAAGACCAGTCTAGGCTACAAAGTGAGCTCAAGGCCAGCCTGAACTGCATGGTGAGACCCTGTCTCAAAAAAGAGTCTCAAAAAAAAAAAAAAAAGAAAAGAAAAAATGGAACTACAATCAAGTGTTGAGGGTGCCAGTACCTTCAAAAAATCCTAGAAATCATTCAAGATTTACTACAATTCTTATACTCAGAAATAGAACAAGTACTTTCTCCTTCTCACCTTGTAAAATTTTCACAACAGGATACAATGTACACACCCACAGTGGACCTGTATCTATGTATCTGCTAACCATACATACTTACCTGAGACAGGCACTGCACCTCAGCAGTGAATCTCCTAACAGGTGAAACTGCTCACTGCGCTGCAGAACACAGCACTAGCTCCTGCCCTTCGCTGGACACCTGCTCAGCTGTCAGCTTTAGCACTAGGTTAGGGCACATAGTGAGCAGCGAGGTCCCTGGCAGGCAGTATGGTGTTTCTCTGGGGGTGAGGGCCTAGGCTGACAGCTCTCCAAGCTTGCAATAATTGCAGTTCTATCTCTAGTCCTAAAACCTATGTTCCTAGTTTGAGTGTGATGACTCACAAGTTAAACCACAATAGGAAATGTTACTTTAGACAGGGAGTAAACAGGCCAAGAACTTTTCTACAAGTTTGTCAAAGGACTATTGGATGCAATTCTGATCAAGAAAGCTTTATATTCAAATCTTCCAATTACTCACTGACACTGTTCCTGCGCTAAAATGATTTTTGTATCTGTTATCTCCTGTAACTTTCACATTACTATTCATTCACTCATTTATTTGAGATAGGGTCTCACTAGTTTAGGCTGGTCCTGAGCTCACTATGTAGCCCAGGCTGACCTTGAACTCAAGGAGATCCTCCTGTCTTGGCCTCTTGTGTTCTGGGACTATTGGCATGCAACATCATGCCTAGCTTGCTCTTAGTTCTTTAAAAGTATTACTATTTACAGAGCCTGATGGTGCATACCTGTAATCGCAGCACTCAGGAGGCTGAGGCAGGAGGATTACTGAGAGTTCAAGGCCAGCCTGACCTATATAGCAAGACTATGTTGGAAAAAAATAATCAGGGGCTTAGTATTTAAATAAATTAGAATAAGCCCAATAAGGAAGTAGGAACAAAAAATGGTGACAAAATAATCCAACCATTCTTCATCTTTACTTACGGTAAAGCAGAATGACTTCTTCCCTTCCTTTTTCCCTCCCTCTCTTCTGCTGTACTGGGGATTAAATATACAGCCTTCTTTGTTGAGCTGTACCTCAGCCCTTTTATCTTTAAACAGGGTCTTGCGCCCAGGCTGGGTTGGAATATGTGATCCTCCTGCCTCAGCCTCCCAGAGTACTCAGATTACAGTATACCACCATTCTCAGCTTTCTTTCTTTGAATTCTCATCTAAATGTTAGTGTGCATACAAAAGATTGAATAAGGTTATCCATAAAAAATTCTAGTTCTAGCAACATGGTAGATTGAATACTGAAGTTATCAATTCTTTTTTTTTTTTTTTTTTTGTCTTTTTCATTTTTATCGGTACCGGGGATCGAACTCACGACCGCTTGCTTGCAAGGCAGGTCTTATGCCGCTGAGCTAAATCCCCAGCCCCGAAGTTATCAATTCTAAACATCAAATATTGAATTAAATCTAACCAATAACCAAAACCTTTTAAACTACTGATACATCCCTGCAGTCCCAGCACTGCTAAGCTGAGGTAGGAGGATCATCATGAGGTGGAGGCCACCCTGGGTCACACAAGGGAGTTCAACATCCACCTAAAATACACAGTGAGAACTTGTCTCAACCACACGCCCGCTTTCTTGAAAAAAAAAAAAAAAAAAAGTCCTTGGGCTCACAACAAAGGCGGATATACAAAATGGAAAGAGAAACAGAAAAGAGCGGCAGGAGGAGCAGAGCACGGACTGGCTGAACCTTGGTTTTCTGACCAGGATCTCCTTCGTAAAGCTTCTACAGGAAAAAAAAGACAATGAATGCACACATGATCCCAGAGAGCAATAAGGAAGAAAGCCTCCAGGGCACAAAATGATGGGTAGCAGTGGGAAGGTATTGTGTGAGGTCAGGAAAAGCCTGTCTGTGTTTGAAAGCTAAGCAGCCGCAGTGAGAGAGACTGGGGCCAGGCAGGGAAGAGCACGGGCACAGCACCCTGCTGTGAGAACAGAAGCAGCACAGGTGAAGTCCTTAATATCACGTGTGGTACCTGGCAAACATTTTACAAAGCAGCAGCAATAACCGCGACGACGATGAGTGACCAACCACAGTGCTTTGCACGATCTGCCAATCACTGTATCCATTAAAGTAACCACACAGGCTGTGTGTGGCCTTACAAAATGCTTCAAAAGAACTGATGATTGCCTGGCTCCATCAGATGCCCCCACTTGAAGGAAAAGGGACAGGAGAGCCCAGATGCGTTCAGCAAGGAAGGGATTCCCAATAGCATGCTCAGTCTGAGTCTCTCTGCCATCAGGAGAGTCCAACCAACATACTCCATTTGACTGCTTCACTCATGGGCTCGGGAGGGTGAGAAGATGACTCAAAGTCACAGGGCCACCCCTGACTTGGAATCATCTCCTCCGCACCTCATGGCTACTCTATTTTTCCATGGTTCTCCAGCGAGAACTCAGGCTGGGTGGTTCCAAGCTGTAACTATATAGTCCATGCACAGTGGTGCCGCCCCATTATCAAGCCTAACCACGTTCTAAAACAGAAACTGTATTAACTGGAACCCCACATAAATAGTAAGTCCTTTGTATTTTGGTTTTTATTTTTTTGAGACACAGTCTTGCTAAGTTGCACTGGCTTGGCCTTGAATTCACTGTGATCCTCCTGCTTCAGTTTCCCAAGTGATGGGATTACAGGTGTGTGCAACCATACCCGGTGTAGTTTTAAAGTTGACTGTACTCTGTACAAATGTCAAACATTCAGCCTATTTAAATCACAGTCTAACCAATATATTTTCTGCAATTCTAAAACACAATGAAATGAAACATTCCCACCTGAACCAATACTCATTCTTGTTAGTGCTGCTAAATTCTTATCTTCTCTTCTAATTATTATCCCAAAGTTGCAATCTGAGAGTTCATTTTAAGAAGGTATCAGGAGGAGAAAACAGCAGGGCTACTTGCTTTACTCATCTTCATTCTGCTTTGTGCAAATACAAACTCTAGTGTCAGAAGGTTTCAGAAAAAGTAGCCCAAAGCATTCTGAGACAAAACAATTTTTCCTTTCAGAAAATGGGTGTTCTAAAGTCCTTGGGCAGGTGAAGTCAATCATATTTATGTTTGTGCAGTTCTAAATTTTAACAGGATAAATTAATCATATGAAAAGCACTATAGGAATTTAAACATTACAAGGCACAATTGCTTTATCTTGGGCTAAGTTATAAACAAATGCACAATGCCCTTGTATAGGCCACATTTTTTTAAAAGAAGTGGAGCTGTCACAGTTCAACTGGAACGCATCACATTTGGAGAAAAGCATTTTGTTGAAGTTTAAAAAAAGTATTTCAAAACAGGATATTACATGCCATACCAAAATTTTGATGTGGTTCACTTTCTTCAAACTTTCCTGCAACCGCTGACTCTGCAAATGACAAAAACAGCTTTAGACTGTCATTAGGTCAGTGCATATATCCACAGTTTTCTTCAGGGGACCCAAAGTCTGCAAACAAGGACCTCAAGCATCTGCAACTTGATGATAGTTCTATGTGTGGCTGCCAACTTTTGCAATTCAAGATCTCCAAATATCCTTCAATCTTTCAGTTAAGTTATATACAATGATTCAAGAAACTGTTTCTGGCCAGATGTGGTGGCATACACCTGTAGTCTGTCCCAACACTTGGAAGGCTGAGGTGGGAGGATCAATTCAAGTTGGAGGCTAGCCTGGGTTACATAAGGACACTCTGTCTCAAAAACCACAAAACAAAAACAAAAAAGCTGTTTCTAATGAGACTTATGAATCTATCCTATTAGTGATGTAAGCCGTTTAATTAAAAACCACAAAGTAGAAATGTTAGCAATGTATATAATTCTGAATATTAGGGGACAAGACTAGTGAAACATGAGAATACAGCTGGCCTAAGAGCAGGTTAAGAGCTCTGCCAATTAATGTCTGCAAAAGAAAGTTCCCTTAACTATAAAAAGGGGAAGATAGTATCCATCTTACTGGGTTGTGGAGAAAATTAAATGAGCTGACAATATTTTAGTGCTCAGAAACTGTGTGTAGAACACCGTGTGCATTAGGTAAACGCTAGTGATCTTCACCCCACTGTATGCCTCAATTCCCATTTCCTTGTCATCGATATGAGGATAGTAACTAACTCGTGTAAGGGTACATTGATTCAACAGATATGCATTAACCACTGGAGGCTGGAAAGTTCACAAAATCTCATTTTTGCTTTTTTTGTTTTTGTCTTTTTCTTGTTTATCGGTACCGGGGATCGAACTCACGACCACATACTTACAAGGCAGGTGCATATGCCGCTGAGCTAAATCCCCAGCCCCAAAATCTCATTTTTAACATGTTGCATCAGTGGATCTTACATTCTAGGGGATCCACTGAAACAAAGCATGCAAAGTGCTTCACGGTACTTGGTACTAAATAAAAGCTAAATAACTGCTATCCACAAAGAAGATGGTGATAACAATGACAAAGAAAGGGAAATGGAAAAGATGACAACTTTCTGCCATCAGGGAATGTATGGAGTGTAAGGCATAACACTTCATACATTCCCTGCTTGATGATAGCAAGACCACACCTGCTGAAGTTCGATGTAGCTTAACACATGCACTTAGCATGGGGAGCCAGCAATATAGTGTCCTTCAAGTCTTACTGAGTATTAAAATCTCCTTAGTGATGTCTAACAAACAAAAAAAAATCTTTAGTGATGTCTAACAAAAAAACAAAACAAAACAAAACAAAAGAGTATTAAAATCAGCTACAGGTTTTGTTTATAGGAAGATGCCAGAGCTGTGATGACCTCAAGAGTTTGGTAATTAATGTCATTGTTTATTTGCATGCACGTCACAGGCTCTGGTGAATTAAAGAACTCTCCCTTGATGTCCAGACTTTCTCTAAATTAGCTAAGTTACTATGGCAATAAAGGCTTCTCTTTCCTAACAACTGAACTGAGATATGACCTAATGGCATATAAGGATATGTTTTTAAAAATATGGTGCTCTCATCTTAAAATTATTAATATAAAAAGGGACTAACCTATGAAGCAAAAAACTATGCTAGTGAAATATGAAAATATTAATTTTCTAAAATATAAAAATGACACCCAAAGAAGTGCCAGTCCCCAAGAAAACTGATTGTGGGACTAGGGTACAAACCCAGAGACTTATGTATGTTAAACCTGTGTTCTCCCAGTGAGCTACACCCTCAGAACACAAATGTATTTAAAACAAAGACTTAAACCTCTCTGTATAACTTCCTATATGAAGGACCGCTCTTCAAGCTTTACACACATTAACTCATTAAGTCCTCATATAAACTATCCTTACTGCATTTTTATTCCTAATACAGGTGATAAATGAAATGTCAGGAGATGACATCATGCTTCTGAATTTAATAGAGTTCAGCTCTTACTACATAAATATTACTTTTTGTTTTGTAAATTTATGGTCAGAAATGTTTGTGTCTGCTCCAAATTCCTGAAATTGAATTATCAATCAACAGTCTAGAAGGAGTGGGGTCTTTGGAGGGTGGCATCTTCCTGAATGGGATTAGTGAGTCTGCTCTCCCCTTTGCCAAGTGAGACACATAACCATCACCATCTATGAGGAGCAGCCCCTTACCAGATACTGAATCTGCTGGCATTTTGATCAGCTTTACAACCATAAGCAATAAATTTCTGTTGTCTGGAAATTACTCAGTCCAAGGAATTATGTTATGGCATCCAAACGGATTAAGATACTAACAATAGCTTAATTACATATTTTCCACAATTAGAACTCCTCGAATACAAAGATAATCAGAACCGTCCCTAGAACTCTGCAATTTGAGAAGCCAATCCAGTGCAATAGGAGTAACTATGCTTCTGTTTCCCATCTCTAACCTCCTTATTCCCTTATCCTGGAGGATCAGTCAGGCTACAGAAGCATTTATCCTCCTTTTTTCCAGTCTTCTTCCTTCTCTTGAAGTCACCTTAGCACTCCAGATCTTGTACTCATCTGGGCTGATTGCTGGGTCAATGCCAGCAGTCTCTCCCAGAACTTACTTTCAACAAGAAACATACCCATAAGGCAGTCTGCCTGCTTATGATACAGTAAACCCAGATGACAATGCACTGGATAGAAACGAAAGATTTTCTGTCAGTGCTTTTGTTGAGAGTCTTCGTGACTCATTTAAACTTTAGGTGTCTACTCACAAGTTGACAGGCATGCTTTATCTTCTCCACAATCCCATCGAGTCCCAAGTATTGTAAAGACAACCACAGAGGCAGGGCACGGAGTTTGTCTGCTGGTTTATTTGATGTAAGACCAGCAACTAATGTCTAAAAAAGCCAATATCAATGCATTAGTCAAAGCCACTGCAATCCCAGGAACTAACTAGCTACCATTTATCTATACTTTGTATTTGACACTTGGCTTGATTATCCATTTGATCATCGAACAACTCCATAAGGTAAATATGCTAGGCAGCTTAGCTCAGAGAGCTGGAGTGGCAAAACCAGGGTGCGAATACAGTTACAGCCCAGAAGTAAAACTAAGCCCCTTCCACAGCCACCCCCTTGCAAGGCTGCTCTGAGCCTTCTCAAATACCTGGTCATTATCAACTGAGCAAGTTAACAACTGTTTTAGCAATAAATCACTTAACTCTTACTTGCACGTGCCTATCATTAATCTATCTACTATACCAGAAGCCTTAAAATATTCCCGAGTCTATAATTCTATTTCTGGGAACTTACCTGAGGAAAAATGTAAAACTAAGAAATAAGTTCACTGTTTTATTATTTCATTTTTTTTTGTCTCACTATTTCAATAATAAACATTTGAAAACGTTCTAAAAGTTCAAAAATGGCCATGATTAAATGATGATACTTATGTGACAGAATATTATACAGGTATAAAATGCTACCAAAATCTTTCATATACATATAGAAGAATGAGGTGAATAAATAAATACATATGGAATGGATTTACTTCATATACATACACACACAGGTGTATATATATGAATGAAGTGGAATTAAGGGGGAAAATTCACCTTTTTCTTAATTTTTCTCTATTTTGTCCCTATAGAGTTAATAATGACTATTTGCTGCTCCCTCCTTCTCCCCACAGGGTGTAGGCTCACCAAGGCGGGATCATCATGTTTGTACAGTGTCACCGTAGGAACAGCGGGCAAACCCAGCCATGGACCAGGAGTCAATGTCATGCTGTCACATTTAGTTGCAGCCTATCAAAAAGAGAACAGCTTTCATCAGATTATCAGGATACAAACCCAACTTCCTCCTCCACTCTTAGTAACTGAAAAACCATCAAGAGCTGAGTGATTTTAAGTTCCCTCTTAGGAATACCAATATTTAGTAAATCAGTAACATACCAGAACTGATGAAGAGACATAACCTAGAGCCAATGTTGCCAGATTCACTCTGGAAGAAAAAACATCACTCTAAGAACTTAATGCTACTTAATGTTAATTACTAGTCTGTGCTTTTCAAATAAAGCAAAAACCATGACTGTGCTACTGCAAAGTGATGTGCAAATGTCTTTTAGCTATATGATTATCTTTTCTTACAGCAACAGATGTGGATTACACAAACTCTGGGAAACACTTCATTTATTTAGAATGATGCTCACTACTTTGTGTCTTTTTTTTTTTTTTTTTTTGTCTTTTTCTTTTTTATTGGTACCGGGGATCGAACTCATGACTGCCTGCTTGCAAGGCAGGTGCTTATGCCACTGAGCTAAATCTCCAGCCCCTACTTCGTGTCTTTCATAACTTCTGCTTTCCAGACATCACTCTTTTATTTTATTTATTTATTTACTTTTTGAGACAGGGTCTCACTGTGTAGCCCAGGCTGGCCCAAACTTGCATTGATCTTCCTGCCTCAGCCTCCCTAGCTGTGATTATAGATGTGCACCACCACACCCAGCCTGGACACACACTCATAAGGACTACAGAGAGCCAGCACAGAGCGAACCAATCCCATCTACCTACCCCTCCACATGAAGCCATATGCCATACTGTTCACAGAGCTCTTTCAATCGTCCAATCTTGTCTGTATGCCCGACTGCTGCAGTTCCTACCATAAAACAAGCAGGCAAGAATATTAAAAGGAATAAGTATTTTCTGTAACTTATTATATACCCTGCCCTGTTCTGAAAGTCTGTGGACTGGAAATTTCTTTTACAAATTGATTTATGTAAGCTTTGAACATATGCATTCTCGATTATATTACTGGATTATATTATTATCTCTAATAATATTACTGGAATCTTTTATATAATGATTTTGTGTGTGTGTGTGGTACTGGGAACTGAACTCAGGACCTTGCGCTTGGCAAGGTAGATGCTTATGCTGCTGAGCTATATCACTGGCCCTATATAATGATGTCTATATATGCTTCCAGTTAATTCAAGAGAGAGATATATAGTGAAGCCTCTCACCAAGCCTGTGGATCTGCTGAATTACATAGGTATTCTATTTTTTTTTCTTTAGCTCTCCTATATGTATTTCAAAGATATATCCTATAAACATTCCTACTCTTTCAGCAGATTGTCTTTTATCAAACGAAGCTTATTTTACATACTAATACTACTATAGTATTTTTGTTAGTAGCATTTGTCTAGACCATAGATGATGAAGCTATGGCACATATGATATAGTGGGCTGTCTGTTATCACTGAAAGCCCTAAAAGGTTTGCCATCATTAGCCTGCACTTTTTCCATTTCTTTTTTCTTCCCTTTTCTTTGGTCATAATATGGGTTATTTTGAGTATGTCCTTTATAAAAAAAAAAAAAAAATACACAGATGATTTGTTTTTTTTTCCATTCTGCAGCCTGTTTAAACATACTAAAGCACTTCAATTGACTCCTTTGATAATTTGATTACATTATAGGTTTTGTTAGGCAAGAACCTCTTTGATGACAGCTTAAACAAAACTTGGAGTCATGCATTTTCCAAACTATCCTAATGTTCCAGTTAGCAGAATCCCCACCTATTAAGACGTTACACCCTCCCTGAGGGCATCCACAACCCAACTAAGAATGGTTCTTCCACATAGTCTGTGCCAGGAAAAGGGCTCAAAACTTTCCCCTTCACACAGAAATCTCTCTCAAAATTAAAAAACAGTCATATTACATTTAAGTTAGTTGAAACAAGATCAAATGCCAGCACAGGGACAGTGCCACATGATCCTACCCTCCATATCAAGGCACAGAGCTGTGTTTAGTGACTGGACCACATTCAGTTCTTTTTCATATTTTTTGGCAGTGTCTGCTGACTAATCCAAGATGCATACTCTGGTCACAGCAATGTGGCCACTGAGCAGTCATTCGATCACATGCCAGATGCAGCCTCTTTGGTCTGTCAAGTGACTGAATACGGGTTGATCTGTTTCCTTTTAAACACCCAATAGTTAAGTCAGGCAGGAAATGGTGGTTTTCTTGCTGGTCATCAGATGGACATTTAAGTATTTTGTTAAGGCAATAATCCTACTCTTGAACTGTATAGTTCAGTTAGTTTTTGAAGACATATAACATATAACCACTAATATAATCAAGATTCAGACTATTCCTATCATCTCAAACACTCCTTTATCCCCACTGTAGTTACTCCTCTTCCTAACTCCTCACTGGCCTCAGACAATCCTGATCTCTGTTAGTATAGTTTTATCTGTTGTAGAATTTTTCTTTCGTTTTGTTGCGAAAAGGTCTTGCTACATAGTTTAGGCTGGCTTTGAACTCGCAGCAACTATGCCTAAGTCTCCAGAACACTAGGATTGCAGATATATGCCACTGTGCTCAGCTAGAATTTACCAATGGAATTATACATTATGTAACTCTCTATGTCTGGCTTTTTATACTTAGCATGCTTTTGAAATTCCTCTTTGTTGATATGTAGGTCAGAAGTTTTTCACTTTTTATTGTCTGTCTGAGACAGTGTGTCACTATACTGCCCAGACTAGGCTTGAACTCCTCCTGTGTCAATCTCCCAGAGTGCAGGGGGTAGGAGGTACCCACAGTTCTGTTTATTGCTTAGTATTGCATTATATGGACCCACATCCCAGTTGGTTTATCCATTCACAGATGAAGGACATCTGTATTGTCTTACTCATGAATACTTTCTCACAAGTCTTTGTATGGTGATGTGTTTTCATTTCTCTTTGATAAATACCTAGAAGTGGAAATGATATTTTATACAGTAATTTTATATTTAATCTTTTGAGGAACTGGCAGACTTTCCCAGAAAGACTGCAAAATTCTGCATCCCCACCAAGTATCTACTATTAAAGTTCTGGTTGCTCTGCATACTCACTAGCATTTGGCACTGCAATTATTTTCTGCTTTCTGACAGCTACGCCATTGTGTGTGGGTATGAGTGGTGCTGGGGATCAAACACAAAGTGTTCTGCATGTAGTGGTAAACACTGTCACTGAGCATCATTCCCAGCTCTCACTGGTTTTACACTGCACTTTTCCAATTACTAGTGATATTAAGCATCTTTTCAAGTGCTTATACACTTTCATTTTCTTTGGTGAGGTGTCTGTTCAAATCCTCATTTTAGTAACTGTATTAGCTGTCATTGATTTGTAAGAATTCTTTACAGATTTTGAAACATTTTCAGAAAAATGTTTTGCAAACATTTCTTCCAGTCTGAAGCTTGCTTTTTGTTTTCTCAATACGGTTTCTTTTAAGTAGTAAGATTTTTTTTTTTGTGCTGGTAATTGAATCTAGAGGCTTGCACATACTAAGCACATGCTCTACCACTGAGCTATATCCTCAGTTGAACTTTTAATCTGATAGTCTAATTTATCAAAAATGTTTGTGTCTTGAGAAATTTTTCCCTAATACCCAAGATGACAAAGATCTTTTATTTTCTTCTATAAGTTTTGTTACCCTACCTCTTATATTTAGGTCTATTAGCCATCCATAGTTACTTACATACATACAAACATATATGGATAGATACACAGATATGGGTGAAGGTTTGGTTTTTTTCTATATGAATATTCTACTTACTCCAAAGACTACTGGTGGAAAAGACTACCAGACTATTGTTCTTCCCTTCAATTATGCTGATACTGTTAAAATCAAATGACCAACTGAGATAGGGGTACATCCCTGTAATCCCAGCAGTCTAGGAGGCTGTATCAGGAAGACTGCAAGTCTGAGCCTAGCCTAGGCAACCTAGTGAGACTCTGTCTGAAACTGTACTGAGAATGTAGTTGTGTAAAGGCCCTCAGTACCACCATAAAAAAAAGTGAGACATATCACGTAAGAATTTCTGAACTTTTATAGTCTCTTCCTTTACTCTCATGCAGTTGTGATTATTTGGAGTTTTGTGTGTATGTGTGTGGGTGTATGCTGGAACCTGAACTCATGGACTTACACATGCTGAACGTGTGCTGTACCACTGGAGATACTCTCTGTCCCGTTCTGTAGCTTTATAGATATCTTGAAATCAGATAGGGTAAGTCTTTCAAATCTGTTCTTTTTCAATATTACACTTTGGTTTCTCTCAGTGCCTCTGCATTTCCATAACTGGCTTAGAATCAAGTTATCAATGTCTATAAGAAACTAGAGCAGGCTGGGGGTGTAGCTCAGAGGCACAGCACTTGCCTGGTACGCACAAGGCCCTGAGTTTAACGTCAGTACAAAAAAATAAAAACAAAAACAAAAAACAAGAAAAGAAACCACAGCTTCCTGAAATAGGAATTCAGTTGAATCTGTGGCTTGGTTTGGGGGAACTGATTTAACAATACTGATTTAACAACACATGGTATATCAGTCCAGTCTTTTTGAATTTCTTTCAGCAAAATTCTATACTTTTCAGTGTATAAATTCTACATGCATTTTGTTAACTTTGTCCATAAATTTTTCATGGTTTTTATGCTATTATAAATGACATTTTGGGGCTGGGGGTTTAACTCAGCAGTGTAAGTGCGTGCTTGGCAAACTCAAAGTTGTGAGTTTGATCTCTGGTACCAAAATAAATAAACAAATGACATTTTGCCAGGTGTGGTGGCACATATCTATAATCCTAGCACTCATGAAGCTAAGGCAAGAGGATTGTTGCAAGTTTGAGACCAGCCTGGGCTACAAAGTGAACTCAAAGCCAGCCTGAACTGCACAGTGAGACTCTGTCTCAAAAAGACCAAAAAAAAATTTTTTTAAAATTTTATTTCCCATTGTGCACTACTGTAGGCAAAACTCCAGCAGCCCTGCTAGGTTTACTAATTAGTTTCAGCAGTTTTTTCTTTAGTTTCCAAAGTCTCTACCTATACAATCATCAATAAAGCATAGTGTGGTGGTATACATCTGTAATCCCAGCACGGCAGACTGAGATAGGAGGACTACCATGAGTTCAAGGCCAGCCTACACTACAGAGTGAGACCTTGTCTCAAAAAAAAAAAAAATTAAAAAAAAAAATCAAGACAGTTTTACATTTTTTTTTTTTTATCGGTACCGGGAATCAAACTTGAGACCGCTTACTTGCTTACTTGCACGGCAGGTGCTTATGCCATTGAGCTAAATCCCCAGCAGACAGTTTTACTTTTAAAAATCTAAATATAATCTTGGGCTGGAGATTTAGCTCAGTGGCATAAGCACCTGTCTGGCAAGTACAAGGTCATGAGTTTGATCCCAGTACCAAAAAAAATCTAATTATTTTTCTTGCCTTGTTACATCCCCTAGGACTTCAAGCAGAATGTCGATACCTATTTAAGAGTAATATTTTGGGGCTGGAGGCATAGCTCAATGGTACAGCACTTGCTAAGCATGTACTAGCTAGGATCTGGGTTCAGACCTCAGCATGGGGGTGGGACGATGACATGAAAATTCAATTTAGAAAGAAAAAGAAAGTACATAAGAGAAGCATTTACAACCTAATTGAAAAAGTACATACATAAAATAACTCCTAAAATGAATTGACAACTGAAAAATCTAAATACCTAACTTCTATTTTAGTTCTAAACTCCATGGATATAGTCTATCTTAAACAAAGTACACAAGCTTCTCTTCAGACTTGGTCTTTTAGACTAGGTATTCCCCTTATATATCCAAAATCAAAGATTCAGGTTTATGATACCTACCAGCATTTGCAACAAGCAGTAAGGGCAGTCTTCCTCGTTCTATGTCATCTTTAATCAGTTTCTCCAGGAATGCAACATCCTGGGGCAAAACAAAATAAAACAAAAATAAATAAAAATAAAATCCCACAAAAAACATGCAGTAACCAGCTAAAAGTTATACAATGAGAAATAATTTTCAAAAAAACTCAATTCTCAAAATGAATCACTTAAGTCAATTTTTATTCTTGACCATTTGTTTCCCCTAAAACTAGATATGAAATTCAAAATTTTCCTTTAAGACTAACGAGAAAAATTAGTTAATGATATAAAAGCTAAAAGTGTATTCCTGGGCACAGTACAATCCTATAATCCCAACACTTGAGAAACTGAGGCAGGAGGATTACCATGAGCTTGAGCCCAGCCTCAGCTACAGAATGAGTTTAAGGTCAATTTAAACCACACATCGAGACTGTTTCAAAAACAAAAACAAAAACGAAAGCAGAAACAGGAAAAAAAAAAAAAAAACCTCAAAACAAACAAAAAACCCCCACAAAAAGTGTGCATATGCAGGACCAGAAGGACCAGTAGGACCAGTATATCTCTAGTTTTAAACATTTCATGAAAATGTTCAGTCTCCTTTAAAAAAAAAAAAACCACCCCAAAACCTGCACTGATACTGACATACTTATACCTAAATTAAAAAGGAAACTACCTTGAAAAAAAGATACCTAGAAACTATTCCTTTTCCTTTAGCTTTAATATGTAGAAGTTTATTACTTGCATGTCTAAAAATAAAAACAGCTCAACCACAAGATTATGAAGAACCTCAATTTCAAAATGTGCATTCATAAACAGATTCATAAATACTGTATTCATAAAGACAGTGAGTTCAGGACTATTGCAATTACTACTTAAAAGTATTAGTGTTAGAAGAAATTTCTGGTGTTTAATTGGCTACCATGTGTGATAGGGCTGGGTATTGTGTTTAGCATGCATGATGCTCTGGATTCAATATTCAGCCCCCAACCTAGAAAGAAAAAAGAAAAGAAGCAGGTGACATATGATTACAAGAGTACTTAAGAGTCAGGTATTTCTGACCTATGCATTGGTCAGCCTTATGGACATTCAAACACTGAACCAACAGAAAGACAGAGGTAGCGAATAAAAGCTAGTAATTATGTAGAGGCCAGCCAATAGAATGTCTGTTGAAAAGAAGACATAGTTTCAAAATACAATTTCATCCTACTTTATAAACCAAAAGGGTAACTCACCATCTGATGCTGGGACCCAAACATAGTGTTACAGGGGACGCGACATAAACATGGAAAGGGCAAACCAAGCTGCAAGAAGAAACACTCAACTTTAGAAGGAAGATCTTTGTCAATACTCACTTATGAAAAAACATTTAAAAAATTTAAAAATTCACTTATGACTGTAAAACACTGAAGGTCTAATGCAAGACACAATTGTTTTTTAAAAAAATCTCAGCAGGTATGGTGGTGCATGCCTATAATCCCGCACTCGGGAGCCTGAGGCAAGAGAGATGCTGCAAGTTTGAGATCAGCCTGAGCTACACAGCGAGTTCCGGGCCAGTCTGAACTACATAAATAGCAAGACCCTGTCATAAACAAGTGATCTCTCCCCTTAGGAATTCTTAATATTAGAATATATGTTAAAGTACCTTTGGAAGTCATAACAAAAAAAGGGAATTTCCAAGTGCTTTATAAGAGGATACAATGTAAAACTTGCTAACATAGTCAAGTAATACATACAAAAACACTTTTCCAAAGAAAGCACTCACTGAATGCCCAGCATTTAGGAGGGTAATTTAGGATTCCTCCTCCAAGCATTTCTGATAAATAACACTGGGAAAAGACATTTGAAGAACAATATCCTATTTATGGTTCCACCCACCCCTAAAAACAAATAAATATGTATTAGCAGATGTACATTTCTTAGAGAAATAAAGTCAGTGTTATGGAGACAGTTATTATTGTCAAATTATTTTTATATTCATTTCTAGCTTCCAAAACCTTGAGAAATTTATAGTTTTAGAATTGTAAATGGGTGTAGCACATTGTTCTGTGTAACTAAGATTTGATAGCATTTAAAGGTCCAAAAGTTAGTATTTTATTCACACATTTTTCCCCTTAAAGGACTTTTGTTTTGTTGTTTTAAAGCAGGGTTTGAACCCAAGACCTTACACATGACAGGCAAGTGGCTCTGTTACTGGACTACATATATCCCAGCCCTAGAATCTTTTAAAATGTTACAAAATGATACCAAGTAAAATAAATCATTGAAAACTAGGCAGTGTAAGCCACTAATCCACCACTGGTAATAGTTTAGTATATAACTTGCCAGACATTTTCTAGGTATAAATATATACATACAGAAAATCTATTTCTTAGGTACTAAAATACATATATTGACATGTACATAGTTTTGTGACAGCCTGTAGTTCAGGCTGGCCTCAAACTCTTAGCGATCCTCCTGCCTCAACCTCCCAAATACCAAATTCCATGCCCAGTAAAATGAAAATACATTTAAAAACATGAACACAATTATCACACAGTCATTAGTCTGCCATTTGATTTTCTCACTTAACAAAAATACTGCTACCTGTGTTTTGATAATTAGATTGCTATCCCAAAATACCTCCAGATCCACAGGAGCCTGGGGTTTAGGCAGGTACTCAAATAATTTGTAACCTGTTTCTATAAGAACACAGAACCCCCACACTCTTGGCAGAGGAGGCAGCAGGAGGATCACAAATTCAGCCCTAGACCAAGCAACTTAACAAATTCAGGAATGCGTCTTAGAATAAAAAATAAAAAGAGCTAGAGGTGTGGCTCAGTGTCAGGGCCTCGGGTTCAATCCCTACAACAAACAAAAAGCATAATCTCTTGTGATCAGTCTTCACAGCTCATCATCATCTTGAGTCCCTCAATTTCTTCTACTCACCTCCCAGGGCCTTCACATCTCCTAACAACCCTCAAATCCTCTGGGTTTTATGTTAAACATTTCTGGTCAAGAGGGTTAACAATTTATCTCAAGGTAGTTCCCTCAGCTGTGTTACATTCAAGCACAAACTTTAAAAATGGTAATGTTCTTTGATCTAGTAATTGTAGACTGGCTCTGAAAATCTATCAGCAGAATAAAACTACAAATTTAGATAAAACTTTTTTTTTTGTTTTTTTTAGACAGGGTCTTGCTATGTAGTCCAGATGGGCCTTGAACTTGCAATTCTCCTCCCTGAGCCTCCCAAGTGCTGGAATTACAGGAATGTGCCCTATACCCAGCTGGACAAAGCTTTGTGTACCAATATGTCCATAACAGCACTACACAAGGAATATTAGCTAAAAGTGGCCACAGCAAACAAGGAATGGAAACACTCTTAATTGTCCAAAGAGGAAACAATATATTACTTATCATGAAGATATTAAAAATAAGTTTTACTGGAATTGTTAAAACATGATACACTACTCTGATTATTCCAGTAAGTGAAAAAAAGCCAGATACAACTATGTAATCACACATACACTTTGAGTAATGTCTGGAAAAACACAAAATGTTGACTGTGGCTGCTTCCAGGGAATTAAAAAAATATAAACTACCACACATTATTTCTGAATTCAATAATACCAATTTTCTAAATAACAAAACAAGCATAGAAGACCATTCTTCTTTCAACTTGAAAAGAATACCAACAAAAGAAATGTGTCCATGGCTTTCAGAGTTTCAAGATGAGACGAGTATGTGCCCTGCCTATAGTCCCAGCTACTTGAGAAGCTGAGGCAGAAAGATTGCTCGGCTCAGGAATTCAGGGCCACCCTGGGCAACATAGTAAGACTCCATCTCAAGGGGGTAGGGATGGGGACAGAAAGAAAAAATTACCTGATTACAAAGGTACTGGCCCAGGCCAGGTCTAGCAGCAGCACTAAGATATATAACAGGTTTTTTGTTATACAACACGTTGAATCCATCTACTACGAAGTCTTCATATCGAGAATGAATGGCAAGCCTACAGATCTTGGCAAGTCCTTCTCTTTCTTCCTCATGGAAATAAGCACAGCCATTTTCATACCTATTAAGAGACACCTATTTATTAATGTTTTCTGATTAATTCTGATTTACAATCTTATAATCATGGAAGCAATTAGTCTGCCCAGTTAGACATTTTCACCTAGGCCAAAGAGAGGACAGAATAAAACACTCCCATTTAAATGGCTGACAACCTATTACAAGACGAGGTTATAAAGAACAGCGGCAACGATCTTTCATCCATATACTACTCTAGAAGCAGCAGAAAAAGTGGAAAGCAGATTAGGAATCCTCTGCATACAGAAAGTTTGAAGAGCACAGTTCCGGCTTATGAGGGCCAGTGCTAGAAATGCAGGCGTCCGTGTCAGCAGAGTTTAATTCGAAAACATCCAAAATAAATAAAGTTGCCAAAAATGCTAATTGGGTTAATTTTTGGTTTTATTACAATCTACTTGGGGCTTTTATTCTTCTCAATCTCCTGGAGGAGGGAGAATAAAACGAAAGTATTTGATTCAAACCATTGCTCTATCTCCTATTAATATGACAATTGGACAGTAACTAAAATGCTGACACTATCAAACACACATTCTTATTGTCTCAGTGTTTTACATGCATTGACCCATAAGCTCATTTAAACCACATAATCCCATGAATATTAATTCTTGCCCCATTTAACAGATGATAAAACTGAGGCATAAGGTTAAGCAACCCTTCCAACAAGTAGGATATTAGAGCTCAGTATAGCTCCAGAGAAAAGATCCTGATATGTCACTCAAACAATCTTTACTAGAAAGTAAAATTCCTTCCAGGAGAACATGGCAGACAAATAACAGCAGCCACAGAGGCTCTCTGAGATTACCAGCTTAGAATCCAGGAATGGTGCCGTGTGAGGAGTCCCACGCGAGGGGAGATGTACCCTGCCGACCCAGGAACGAACTAAGCTGAGAGAAACCAACTGGAAATGCAATCCTGATGCTATAACAGGAACAGATAAAATCTCAGTGCGGAAGCTGGATCCCACACCATTGGAGGCCGCGATTTGAATTTCCTGCTGCCAATACATCCGCACGGCAGGGAGAGAGACGTGCGAAAGCTCTGAGAGCTGGAATTGGCAAACCAAATGGCGTTGAGAATAGGACTGGCAGAGAGCCCTGCATTGACCTGTGGTGAGTGAGAGAAATGGGGACCCTTTCATAGACTAGGAGGCTCCAACAGAGGACATTCTGGGAACGGGCAGACTAGCCAGAACAGGTCCTTGCAGTGACTTTAGTCGCATATTCCCCTCTCAAGTAGGAGTGGGGGAGAGCGCTTGGCCTGGTGACTCCGCGGACTAAGATCCTGTAGGCTAGCCCAAATCAGGTGCCTGTGCCTGGCGGTGCACCCTAGCAGTGAAGCATTCAGTAGGTTGACCTGGAGGGGCGGGCCCAGCAGAGGCTGCCCAGGTCTGTGTCTCCCTAGTACACTGCAGTGGGCGGGAACACCTAGCCAGCGGATTCAAACAAACTGCCACAGACAAAGAGAAAAAAAAAAAAAAAAACTGAGCCTCCTACATACGCTTGTATGGAAGGAACAAAAAGTATGGGAAAAGGGAACAACAAGAAAGGCTCCTCAGTCCCCAATCCTGAGAACACTGATCCAGGAAAGGGAAATGCAAAAGAGAATGAAGACAGAAAACATGCAATATCAGACACAGCACCTATAGATATAAAATGGTATCTCCAGAGCCTCATAGACGAGTTCAAAAATGAAGTATTTAATGAAATAAAGCAAGAAATAAGTAGAATAGTTAGAGAAACGCTAAGCACTGCCCAACAAAAAACAGATGGTGGAATGGAAGAACAGAAAAAAAGGGGAGAATTGTTTGATGGAGGAAATAGAGAAAACATAGAATACGTGAAGCAGGTTCACAGAGATTACCAGGAAACTAAAAACTCTACTGAAAGCTGGCATAACAGCTTGAAAGAAACTAAGGATAGACTATCAGAACTGGAGGACAGATTTGTAAGGTGGGAGCATAAAATGAAAAACTTCTTAAAAATAACAAGATGACAAACAGCAATAATACAAAGACTAGAAGATGATAAGAGGATCTATAACTTAAGAATTAAGAACATAAAAGAAGTAGGGACACAAACAAATCAACTACAAAAGCTATTCATAGAAATAATCCAGGAGAATTTCCCTAATTTAGCAAAAGGTAAAGATACTCAGATGTATGAGGCATACAGGACCCCAGCCACCTACAACCCAAACAGAGCTACACCCAGGCATATAATAATCAAAATTCCAGAAATCTAATATAAGAACAGAATATTAAAAGCCATCAGAGACAAGAAACAGATCACTTACAAGGGAACACCCATCAGAATTACAGCAGACTTCTCGGCACAAACCATCAAAATCACGAAGAGCGTGGGGGGAAATAATTCAAGCTTTGAAAGATAATAACCTCCAGCCAAGATTGATATATCCTGCACAACTGTCCCTAGAAATGGATGGAAAAACAAGGTGCTTCCAGGATAAAGAGGAACTAGGGGAATTTGCAACCACCAATTCAACTCTACAGAGATTACTGCAGGATATTCTAAAAATGAAAAATACCAAGATTCCAGAAACAGTGGCAGAGAGGCCACAATGAATGGAGCAGAAAGTGAAATGAAGAAGACAAACTGACAACTAATGACAGAAAAAGAGCTCAACAGAAATGAGGCAGAGAAGGGTGGATGGTAGGAACAGCCATTTTGGAGAAAACAAGACATCATAATAGGTAGTGCTGATTTAATATCTTCTTGTTTTGAAGTCCCATCAAGCTTTTGTTTTTCAGTCTCCATCGGTTTTAACGTGTTGTATCTTATTGGGTTTTATTATATGAGATAATATAAACAAAAACTTTTATAGACAAGATTATACAGAAACCATTGTTCATTTTCTGTTAGTTGATTCTAAATACCCTGTAATACTGTCATTCTCTTGAACAGTTTTACATTGTCTTGATATGTTTGATGCTACAGAACACGAAGTTATACCCAAAGATTTTAAGGGAAGAGACACTATGGTAACTACTATTATGTCAAGATTATCTTGTGGTGAAACACTATTTTGCTTAAATGGCTATGTTTTGACCTGCACTGTTTTGTTGTTATGCCCTCTTTTTTAATCTCAATCTCCTTTTTATTATCTACTTTTTCATTTTTATCCTTTTAATTAAGGGAAAAATAAATAAGAAATAGCAGGATATATTATAGTAACCCACTTTGATTTCCTATTAACTTGATTTGAAACTCTGTATTGCTCTCACCATCTTGTTTTGACTGATTTTCCTCTATTCTGTTATGCTTGATAGTATCAAGTTTGAAAGTCTAGGCAGCAACTATGAAGACAATAAGATCCATTGTGACGCCCATTCTGGTTGACTATTATCTTCTTTGAAGTCCTCTAATGTCTCCAATGTTTTGGTTTTGTTGGTCTTATTCTTTACTGTTTTGTTCAATATTATTATAACTGATGATATAGGCAATTCTTTTTAAGATAACAAGAGGCATTATGGTAACCATTGTTGATCACCTTGTATTTTGTTTTTACATTATGTATTATGTCCATCCTTTTGATTTGACTGACTCTCTCCTGGTATGTCACATTTGGTTTTACTTTCTTCAAAAAAAAAGTAATAAGAACTGTGGGATTAATAAAACCCAAAATGTGTAATTGCCATTGTACAAAAGAAAGTTCTCTAAAAGATATAACTGCATATATATTTAAGTGTATAAGACAGATAACCATATTACTGAGTTTTGGTGGATTATTGAACAAAACTGTTTGCAGTCTCACTGTTTGAAAGTCCCCTCTATATGCTTTAATTTTGTAACTTCAACAACTATTTCTAAGATGACAATATGTAATTAACCAGTGATTTCCTACTGTTTATTTTTCTGAAATTCTGTATAACTTGTACCCTTTTTCTGTTTTTTTTCTCCTTAAATAAAATTAAAAAAAAAAAAAAAAAAAAAAAGAAAGTAAAACTCATGTTTTACCTGAAAATTCTGCAGAGCCATAAGGTAGTATCTGAAAGTATCCTAGTTGTAAGCTTCCTCAGCCTCTCTTTGTCCAAAGTTGAAATATAAGCTCCCAGACTATGCCCCAACAAAGCCATGTGACCTTGTTCTCCGATATTCTGGATTCTGTTAATAAAAGTTCATTAGATTAAAAAAAGTGTAAGAGTCAAAGAATAAAAAACAGAACTGAGAGGACAAAATGTTCCATAGAAATTTAGCAGATCTGAAACCCACTTAATGTCTCAGAAGCCAGAAATTTAGATAAATTCAGAAAATTCAATGCATATAAGGTACTGAAAGCAGAAACTTAAAATACAGAAAACACAGAAAGGGCATGGTGGTGCACACCTATAATCCCAACAATCGGGAGGCTGAGGCAGGACTGTTGCAAGTTCGAGACCAGCCTAAGCTACAAAGTGAGCTCAAGGCCAGCCTAAACTGCTATACGGCATAGTGTAAGATACTGTCTCAAAAAGACCCTCCCCCCTAAAAAAAAGCACTGAAAGTTTGGGAGAAAGATAGCGCTAAAATTCCAGTCCTCAGAGATTTTCATTCTTCTTTTTTTGTCTTGTTTCTTTTTATCGGTACCAGGGATCGAACTCACGACTGCCTGCTTGCAAGGCAGGTGCTTATGTCGCTGAGCTAAGTCTCCAGCCCCTCATTCTTCTTTTTGATGTGAAGGTATATTTGTAGCTTTCAAGAAAGAAGTGTTCTCAATCTTAAAGTCTTTAAATGAAAAAATAAATATCCTTTATTGAGTATGTACAAACTGCTTTTGAATAATTTCCTTTTAAAATATTTTTAAAATTAAATACCAGCCTCAAATAGTACAGAGGAGAGGCTGGAGGGCTACAGTGCAGTTGTAGAGCATTTGCCTATCATGTACTGGGCCTCAGGTTCCAATACTTGAACTAAAACTAAAACAAAACAAAACAAACAAACAAACAAAAAAAAGAATAGGGAGGGTATAAGTAGGATAAAATGAGTATAAAACATTTTTTCTACAATTAGTACAGATCAATTTCTGGCATTAGATATATTGAAAATAATACAGCATATGTAAGAGGAGATAGGTACTTTTTTATATTTAGTTAAAATGGAGCAATTTCCTTTACAAAGAATAACTATAAATGTAAGAAATAAGTTACAATTATTAAGAAAAAGACAAAGAACCAAACAGGATCATGGGCAAAAAACCATTCAAAAAAGGGAAATACAAATACAAAAACAATGTGTTTCAAAAGAAAAAGTAATTTTAAATCATGCTGAAATATTTCACTAGAATTCTGGTTTTCACTTACTAAAGATCTTTCAATTTGATAACACATTGTAGGCCCAGGTATGGGAAATGAAGTATTTTCATATACAACTAGTGGGACCGTGAACTAGAATAACTCTAAAGAGGAAAATATAGTACTATCTGTTGAAATTCCAAACACATATACTGCCTGGCCCCCTAATCATACTTCTAAAATTTCACCCTCTAACAGAAATAAGCCTCTATAAGAAATGACATGCATCCAGCTGGGTGTGGTAGCATACACCTAACATCCCAGCACTCTAGGAGACTGAGGAGGAAGGCTCACAAGTTTGAGTTCTACTTGGGCAACTTAGTAATTTCGTGAGACCCTGTCTCAAAAAAAAATTTTTTTTTTAAGTTTTTTTTTCTTTTTTTTTTTTTCCTGTCTCAAAATTTTAAAAAGCTGAGGATGTAGTTCAATGCAAAGCCCTGTGTTCAATCCCCACTATCACAAGCAAGAAAAAAAGGCAGGGGTAGAGGGGAAGAGGGATGAGGAAAAAGGAGTGAAGAAGGAAGAGAAAAAAATGACATGTCCAAATTCACTAGCTGCGGTAATTTTTCCAATAAAACATGAACAGTAAACTAGTTAAATAAAATACAGGTCAATCAGTCAAAGTAAAACTAAATACTTCTCAAGGATAAAGCTCCTGCTGTATGCAATGAACTCCAAGACATAGTGGGAAAAAAGCAGAGTGCCCACTAGGGCATCTGATGTCTTGGAGAGCATGGGTGTGGATACTGTGCTTGTGTATGCACCCATGAGATCTGAGGAGGAGGCATACGTAAGCAACTGGTAACACTGTCTCTAAGGAAGAAAATCAGGTAGAGGGGCAGACGTAGAAACGAAAAATTGTCTTTGTATGCCTCTTTTTTACTGAATTCTAAACAAGAACACATTATTACAAAATTTAAAACATTAAAGACAAAATTAAAATAGATAGCTAAGCAGATAAAGGAATAAAACAACTGTGTGAGTCCCAATGTGGACTATCACCAAGCGGACTGCGGCAGTCTAGCAAGCAGAAGCAGAAAAGCACAGAGCACTTGTTTCCAGTCCTTCTGGCGGCCCTTTTGGCAGGACTGCATATCACAAAAATTATAGGATCTAATTTTTTTTACTCATTTATTGAAATTTTTTTTCTGAGACAGGGTCTCATTATTGTAATTCAGGCTGGTCCTGAATTCATGGCAATCCTCCTGCCTCAGCCTCCTGCATGCTGGGATTACAGGTGTGTATCAACACGCCTGGCTGAATCTAATTTAGTAATGCCTTCCTTTTACAAAATGTTACCTAAAATACATGAATTATTTTTGAAAAGAGAAAACATTATCCTAGTATGACATTTAACTCAGTGCAACACAGTTTCTTAGTAGAGTCACTTGTCAGGATGGAACTGCTAATGAAATCAAGAACACACAAACTTTCCAAGGACAGTGGCAGACCATTCTTTATTACCGGGTACTCTGGGGCTCCTCATCTTCCTCTCCATGCATCAGATTCTGAACTAGCTGCAGGATGCTCACCATATCTTGTCCGCTGCAGAATAAAAAAGAATTGATGGACTAGTGGAGAAAACGTACATGCGCAAACTCATCTACCTACACACAGACACACACATCTCTCTCATCCAACTCAGCTTACCTAAGTTTTTTGACTTTTGTTCTTGAGTAGCTACATGATAAAAGAAGCATCTTGAAATGTAGTTTACACTTTAAAAAAGAAATCAAACTTCTAATTAAACTGAATCCTAGCTGCACATGGTGGTGTATGCGTGTAATCCCAGCACTCAGGAGGTTGAGACAATAGGATTGTTGTGAGTTCGAGACCAGCCTAGGTTACAAAGTGAACTCAAAGCCAGCCTGAACTGCATAGTGAGATATTGTCTTAAGAAGACAAAAACAAACAACAACAAAAAAACTGAATCCTGTTTACCTTTCTTGCAGTTAACTCTTCTACCTAAATGTCAGTTTGGTTTTCAAAAACTTCACCAGCATTTCTATACTAGCTCATTTGAATTTTGGAGTAAAGATTTAGTAAGTGTGATAGAAAAGTCAATAGTCTGTATAAGACAGTAGAAGGGCCCAGCACAGTGGTAATCACCTGTAATCCCAGCTATTCAGGAAGCTGAATCAGAAGGATGCCACGTATGAGGCCAAGAAACTTAATGAGATGCTGTCTCAAGATAAAGTTCTGGGGGTGCAGATCAGTTGTAGAGCATTCAGCTCACATGGGTTCAATCCCAAGTACCACACACACACACATACACAGGTTACAGAAGCAGCAAAAATTACTAATAATGGTACATCTTGTTTTACTCCACCAAGGAGACTTATCTACTTACACTAACAGCATTAAACATGTAATGCAAGCATCATTACATCTTTCCCAAGCTGGGAAACTTGAGATCCACTTAGAATATAAACAGATTTATTTCTATACAAGGTATGTTATTCATTGTTTATTACATGAGGAGGTAAAAAATTATGAGAACCCAAATGGCTAAAGCAGAAAGCAACAGCAAGGCTACTTATTTTACACTAATGTAAAAATGTTATTTCTACTAATAAGAAAATGACTAGTAAAAATCTCTTGTTTCAAAAGTGAAGTAGTGTTAAAACAATGCTAAAAACTTCACTCCTCTCAAAGTGCTGACATTCAAATGAGAGGGAGCCCCTCAGAGATTGCAGTGATTTAGGGCAGGGAGGAAAACTTCAGGCATAGCGAGGTGCTAGTCTTGTGACTTTGAATAAGCTATCCCAACTTGCTAAGCCCTCATGTTATAAAAAGGTGATGGCAAAAATCAGTGTCTATACTTAGCCTATTATTGGCCTCAAATGTTTGATACTGGCAGTGTCAATACTCCTGACCACCACCAGTTTTAATGTCATTCTGAGAGTTACAGTTGTTCTTGGGAGTATCTCTTCCAGGGAAACTGCTGTGGAAAAAGGAGAACAAACAAAACTTCAATCCTGTCTTCTCTTTAAGGAGAGCTATAGGATTTGCTTCCTAGCTGAGCTGTAGATAGCAATTCATACCTACAGTGCTTTGCTGCTTCTCTGAGACACGGGTCTCACCATGGAGTCCAGACTGGCCTTGAAAGCACTATGTAGCCAATGCCGGCTTCAAACTCACTGCAATCCTCCTGCCTCAGCTTCCCAAGTGCTGGGATTAGAGACATGCATCACCATACTCATCTAAGGGCTTTAGTCAGCACAACTCGTGCTACAAGTAGAGGTGACTATTTTATTTTGGGGAGGTGACGATTTTAAAATATTAGTATCCAGGTATGTTACATATAACACTGACTAGCCTGTTGTGACCTTGGCCTTATAACCTTGGACAACTAATTCAAGTAAACATACATTTTAAGGGAGCTGTACTGTTGACCTAACTGCTAGTTTCCTGGTTATAAAAGAAAAAAATGTTTGCCTCAGGAAAGCTGGGTTGGGACCTTAATTCCAGATTGACTGCAAACATCCTGTGAAAATTGAAGCCAGCTACTCCCCCACCCCCAACCCAGTTCAAACCACAAAAACTTGATAGACTTGCTTTAGTTGTCAAAAATTAAATCACTCTGCCAATCAATACTACCGAGATTTTCATTTATTATATTACAAAATGGTATCAAATTAAAATATGTCTCACAATAAAAAGAATCTAAGGAATATATTAGATTTCAAGGATGAACTAAATATGATACTTCAGTTATGAATGCAAATTTGTGCATGACTTTTCAGTCATGATGCTGTGTTAACTTTTGAGTGGAAAAGAGAAAGAGGCTGATAGATTCAGTATTACTAAATGTCAATGGCATTTCAATTTTCTGTTACACTGCATAAAACTAGTTAAATTTTCTTTGAGTTCATTCAAATTTAAATTGCAAGTAAGGGAGAGGTAAAATCTTGAGTTAAGAAAAACTTATACCTTTAGAGCCAGAGATATAGCTCAGTGGCACAGAGTGTGCCTATTAGGAGCAAGGTCCTATGTTTAATCCCCAGTACCAAAAAAAACCCCAAAAAACAAAACTTCATACCTTTAATCTTCATTGCAACCTACCTGCCCTGGAGTGGCCCTGGAATATCCTCTGATAGAAGCTTCTTTTCTTTTTCCTCTTCTATTCTTCTAATGTAAAGGAAAGAAAAATTTTATCATATTAACTTGAACATATACACGTGACCACATTATTTAGAACTTCTTAGTGACCAACACAAGGTTTGAAACACATGTGTCACATTTCAGATCCCACTTTTGAGCAATCTAAGTTTCAGGAAAAGAAAAGAATATGAATAAAAAAACTTCAACCCATCTCTCAGTTAATGCCTGTATGATCTAAATATCTAATAAGAATTTACAGATTCAAGTCAATATATTATATAAATGAAACTTACAATGACAGGACAATTATAAGTCCTTCCCCTTAATTTCAAAATCTTTTAACTACAAAGTATCTTCTATACCAGACAAATAACCAGTTTTAAAGTCAGCATAAGCTATGCATGGCATTCAGGAGTTAACAGGTATCAGTCAGAGAAGGAAACCAGGGCCACCAGTTCCAAAATGGGTTGAACACATGAAGGCAGAGGGTGGCTCCCTTACCTCTGACCATCCTCCAGCATTTTCATTGCCTCCTTTAAGTTCTTCCCCATTTCAGCTAATGTAGGGTCTGCTATCTGGGAAACCAAAAAAGGTTCAATTTTAATGCTCATGTATCACTTCTGCAATATAATTCAAAGAGCAAATCCAAGTGTTTTGGATTTACAAAACACAAATATTATGAAATGTGTTCAATTTTCAACCATATAAAAGTATAACATAAAATAAAAAATCCTCCAGTTGTACTCCCTACAGGATACCACTTGAAAGCATGGTACAGCTCTTTCCAATTAGAAAATGTTGAACTTTGAGGGGCGGTACTGAGGATGAACCCAGCTCCGGAACAATCTAGGCAACCACTTTGCACTGAGCTATGCACACCCCAGACTGGAGTACTGGATCTTACGGGACCTAGACCAGGGTTCTTCTGACTCTTAACTCCCACCAAGAACTTGGGGGTGAGAGGATGTTAAAAACTTGGGAGTCTGCCACGATCCAGGGCAGCTCCTGAGGTTCTTGGGATTAAGGACCAGTAAGAGGATGATAAAAATGAAAGACAAGGCTGGGGTCAGGTGGAGTCCTTATCCTCTTGATAGGAGGAAAGGAACTGCTCAACCACTGTAGTACATTTACTTATACCCTCTAAAGAAGAATGTCAATTTCAACCCCACAGTCTAACAACTCATTTGCCTGGTACACCTGGGCCCCTTGCTTTCTAGGTGCTGGCACAACTTGTTTACATAGTTTGTTTTGGTCTTTGTTTTTTCTGGGTTGGCCTTACTTTAGCCCCACATATGAGATCAATCTTCAGCTTTAAAGGTTTGGCTCCGAACAGGAGTCTTTAGGTTTTTAGCTTATCTCTCATTAAACTTAAATATGTAGGGATTTGAACAAAACTTGATTTGTAAAAAGTTTCATTAAAAAGTAAAAGCAGGACTGGGGATTTAGCTCAGTGGCACAAGCATCTGCCTGGCAGGCATGAGGTTGTGAGTTAGATCCCTGGTTCCAAGAAAAAAACAGAAAAAAGCATAGTGAGGTGAGGAAATTAAGACAGAGAAGTGATTTGCTGGTGGTCACAGAGCTAATAAATGACAGCATGGTGTCGAACTCCTAGGCACTCCTGCTTCTGCCTCTATTATATCATACTGACTCTCACAAGTAATCGTATAGCCATAGCCACTCTGATTGTTAAACAAAACAGAAAAATCATTTTCTAACAGGCATTTTCAATAAAATCCACCAGTTGAATGTAACAATGAATAGTTTAACATGCAATCTAAAGGGTGTCAGTACTCTAATTATGACTTAGTAAGAGGAATTGATAATGGTCAAGAGAATTTATCTTACTCTGTTGGTCACGTTCCTTATCATCTTTAATTCTTACTCCACTCTGTGTCTGCCATTATCCGGGTCCAATGGAAAGATACAGTTTTGCTTGATCATCCTTATTTCCACGCTTCATGCTTCTAATACTTGCCCTATTGGAAATGAACACCCTTGTGCCTCTTATCTCTAGCTAGTTACTCAATGACAATTCAGTATTTCCAGGAAACTTATGGATAGAAGCATTTTTACTCTTTCCTAACAATGCAGATGACATCCCCCCCAACCAAATAACTGGACTTGCCTGATACCCACCCTCAATAAAACAAAAAGGGCTGCATTTATGGGACTAATGGGACAGACCCTATACAACTGGGGCCATTCTGACATGTAACTGCCATTTACCTATATGATTCCTTAGGGCACAAATTCAGGCTTATACTAATTTTGATTTCTTTTATAGAACTAAAAAGGGTTCAAAGTCAGATTCATGGGCAGCACTGGGGATCAATACACTTCATCTATAAGTACAACACAGCTTATTCTTCTACAGGACTAGAATTTGTTTTTGTTGTTTTTACTTTTCTTTTGTTTTGGGTTTTTTGTTGTCGTTGTATGTTTGTTTGGGTTTTTTTTTTTTTCAGTTAAGAATACATAAAATAGCCAAACCTGGTGGTGCACTTGTAATCCCAGTACTCTAGGAGACTAAGACAGGAGAACTGTATGTTCTATTCTAACCTGGGCAACCTAGCAAGACCCTGTCACAAAATTTAAAAACTGAAAAAGGTAATTTTCACCATGCACTAAACTAAAGTCAAAATGGATCAAAGATCTGCATATTAAAACAGGCTCAGTGGCATAGTACCTGTCTGGCAAGCACAAGGTCCTGAGTTTGATTCTCGGTACTATAAATAAATAAATATTAAAATGGAAACATTAAATCTGCTGAAAGATACAATAGGTAAAAACTCTTAAAGACACTGGTGTAGGCAAAAACTTTATGAATAAAACCCCGAATGCACAAGATCTATCATAAGAAATCAACAACTGGGATCTCATTTTATTAAAAACCTCTTGCCAGAGAAACCACTAACAGTGAAGAGACAACCCACAGTGTGGGAAAAAAATGTTTGCCAGCTGTTCCTCAGACAAAGGAATACTATTGAGAACATATAAAGAGCTGAAAAAATCCCCTCTCCTCCAATTTAAAGACCCAATCCAAAAATGGGCATTTGAGATGAATACATACTTCTCAGATGAAGAAATATAAACAGCAAATAAACATATGAAAAAATGTTCAAAGTCACTGGTCATTCAAGAGATGCAAATTAAAACAACACTGAGATTCCACTTTACCCTGGCAAGAATGGTTATTATCAAGAAACCAACCAATAACAAATGCTGGAAGGGCTGCAGGGAAAAGGAACTCTTCCACTGCTGGTGGGAATTAGATTGGTGCAGCCACTGTGGAAATCAGTGTGGAGAGTCTTCAAAAAAACTAGGATTGGAGATCCCATTGGACCCAGCTATTCTCCTTTCGGGTATCTTCCCAGAAGAATTCAAAACATCATACCAGAGGGATATATGTGCAGCCATATAGCAGCACAATTTAGAGTAGCTAAATCTTGGAAACAACCCACTAACCGAGGAATGGATAAAAAATATGTGGTCGTTTTATACAAAGAAGTACTACTTAACTGTAAAGAAAGATAAACGAGACTTTTATAGGTAAATGGATGCAACTCAAGACCATAATAATAAGTGAAATAAATTAGATGCACATGTGTAAACACCATATTGTCTCCCGAGAAGCTGAAAGAGTAAATAAATCCAAAATTTACCCTAGATATTGTAAAATGGGAAGAAACTTAAAAATGAAAGAGAAACTGGTATAGTATACTAGTATACAGTATACTACTAATTTCTCTTAGTTCACTGAAAAGAAAGATTTGTGCTAATATTGTTTGGAAAATTCAATGCCAATACCTTGAATTCTGAGTAACTAATCTAAAGATAACAAAACACAGCATATTAATTGTTATTAGCCTATCATCTTGTTTTGAAATTCTATCTTTTTTTTCTCTTTAAAATAAAATTAAGTAGGGCTGGGGGTTTAGCTCAGTGACACAAGTGCCTACCTGGCAAGCGCAAGGTCGTAATTTTGACCCCTGATACCAAAAATAAATGAAAATTAAGGGGAAAAAACACTGAAAAAGTAGGGTAAGGAATGGAGATGAAAGTCACTGCAAAGGCACTGGGTTCAATTCCCAGCATCAGGTGGATGGAGACAGACCAGACAAAATAGCTGACTTACTTTAGAAGTCTCTCACCTTGAACACTATGAATTTAGAAACACTAGAATTATATGTAATGACAAGATGCTGACTTTGTGAAAGGCAGGAAGAAAGTGCAGATTTACCATCTCCTACCCGAGTCACTCACTGAGTGGACTGACCTATGTTTGAATTGTTCTTGCTCTTCCTTTCTTTTACGGGGTGGAGTACAGAAAGTAACAATGATAGTTAAATTAGAGTAAACTAAATGGGAATGATTCTAATGCTGTAGATCCTAATGTGGTTGATATATTAACCAGATAATCCAAAACATGAAGCCTTATCCAGCTGAAGGGTAATATCAGGCTTTAAAGACAAAGAGGACTCTGAGAATAGCTGAATATTAATTGGTTCCTTAAAACCAAAAACTGACTACATAAAGTGGCCACTGCAGGCAGCCACTACTTTTTATTCACGTTTCATATCTTCAGCACCTGTTACAGTGCCAGACCAGGGAGCTGTGTGATCAATGTTACCATATAATAGCGGGACAACAGCCAGACACTAAACCAATGAATAAAAACTTAAATTGCCTAAAGATGCCTATAGTATTCAGTATATAGAAAGAGATAGTAAAGGGAGAAATGGTATTGTATCAGGTTCTTAGGAAGACTGTCATAATTGCTGTATTTCTTAGCACCAAGCAAGGTCTGCCACAGAACAAGTATTCAGTAAGATTTATAAACCTTAATAACTACTCGTACTGGGTTCCTTACTGTAATCCAGGCATATTAATTAACCCCTTTACATTACTTTCCAACTAACACGAAGCCATATAGTTAGTGTGCTTTAAAGTCAAAATTTAAAACAATCTTTATTACTGCAGAACTAGGACTCTAACTTCCAGAGACTGAGTGCCCAAACTGCAACCCAAAACCCCCTTATTTATTGTAAAGTGACAACACTACAATTAAACCTGAATACTGAAGTTTTAGTTTAGGAAAAAAAACAACATACAGTAACATCTTTTTTCTTAAAAACACAACAACAAAGCCAGGTGTGGTAATGCATGCCTATAATCCCAGCACTGGGAGTCTGAGGCAGGAGGATCCTTAAAGTTCAGGACCAACTTGGGCTACAAAGTGAGTTCAAAGCTAGCCTAAACTGCATAGTGAAATGGTCTCAAATACACCAAAAAAAAAAAGGGCCAAGGATTTAGGTCAGTGGCGTAAGCACCTGCCTGGCAAAGCACAGGTCATGAGTTCAATCCCCAGTATGAGGGGAAAAAAAAAAAAAAAACCACAATACAGCTTTCAATGATACAACCAGCTGTTTATTAAAAGGTAAAAGTTTGCATCTGGCTTTCTTTTGCACAATTAATGTCACCTCTGCTGTTGTAAGCATGCTCATAATTTGTCAGACGATGGAAGGAATGGCCTGGCTGGCATGCCCACATTGGGCTCTGTGCCACTACAGCACACATGCCATAGGTTTGCCACCACTGTACTAAGTGACCCTGCGTCTCTTATCAAATAACTCAATGAAGCAACTCACACTCTAAAAAAGTTCTCCATTCAAAAATCATACTTAGAACTGAGCTTTGATTTTAAAGATTATCTTTGCTTAATATTTTCACTTATGAAAATAACAATGATTCTTCACATAGGGAAAATGTCCATCCTACATCAATCATGCCTAGATGACTATAAACTTATCTAAACTTGCACATTTTTAAGACTGAAAGGGGATACTATTAATAATTAAACCAGGACAAAAGGTATAAACTGGGATGGTCCTGAGCAAACCAGGATGTACAACTACCCTACCCTTAACTAAAACATTTACTTCAGATCGTAGCCCATTATTCCACCTACAGAAGTCCAAGGAAGATTTATGTAATGGTGGTGGTTTAAAAGTTATAAGGTAAAATAAAAGCCAATATAAAACTTGAAAGTTGTGTGCCTACAGTGCAGATATTGCCAGTGGCATATGTCTCGATTCTCTAGGATCTCACAGTATTGCCACTATGTGAGACTTCTTTTTCTCACCCATAAACATGGAAAACATTTTCCTGTATTTAAATCTTGAGTAAAATGACCTGATAAAATCTGGGGCTTACTAGGAACAAATTTAGGGAGAAAAAAGGCCCCTTTTTCAAAACAGAAAACTCCACAGTTTCTAGTCTCTCCTCTGTGGTCAGTTGGCATTTACTCTGCTTCCTTTCTAAGATTTTTCCTACCAACTTTAAGCAAGGCAGTTCAGGTGTAATATATGCAAACGCATCCCAAGGTGCTTTTGTAGGAAAAGGAGCCACAACCAACACAAACTCAAAAATGGGTTGGATTCCTAGGACCCTCTGCCTGCCTTTAAGCTTTAAACAGACTGGTAGCAATTATACCATCAAATGGTAAAATTTACCAAAACAAATTCAATAAAATATTTTCTAATCACAAAACTGATAAGATGGCCACTGTTAAGAAATTCAGAAACATACTTCTCTTTGGTTGTAACTTAAACAAAAAGGTGGGTGAACTTTTTTAAAGTCAGTTGGTGGGGGGATGGTAATCAGGAGTCAAACTCAGGACCTTGCATTTGCCAGGCAGGCACTTGTGCCACTGAGTTATATTCTTAGCCCTTAAAGTAAATTTAACAGAAAATATTAAGTAAATTATATAGGTGGTACACTTATGACAAAATTCACAGAGATATAAAGTGAATAACTTTTTCCCCCAAATCCATTTTATTTTGAAGAGAAAAAAAATCTTTCAAAATACAACAGTCACGGGACAATACGTTGAGCATTGCTGTCCCCAAATCAGTTGCCCAGAGCACATCTGCATTTAATTATCCGAAAGTATCAGCACAAACCTTGCACTTCAACG